TAAGCAAATTCAAGAATGGGAGAGAGTTAAAATTTAAATCGGTTGGCCGGACTGGATCTTCTGGGGAAAGTGACCTTTGAGCAAAGACGAAGGAGGTGAGAGATATCACATTCAGTGAATCTGCGATAGAGGATTCAGGACAGTGCCAAGAACCTGAGGCAGGAGTGTGTCCGGTGTTAGAGGACCAGCAAGGAGGCCGGTGTGACTGGAGCAGAGAGAGCGAGGGGAGGAATACTGGGGGAGGGTAAAAAGCTAATGGGGACCATATCCTGTTGGGCCTTCTAAGGACTTCCACTTTTATTTATTTATTTATTTATTTATTTATTTATTTATTTATTTTTTATCCCCACCCGAGGACATTTTCCCATTTTTTTGTTCAGGTAGAGTAGGAGGGAGAGAGAGGAACAGAGAGAGAGAGAGAGAAACATCGATGTGAAAGGAACACATCGAGTGGCTGCCACCCGCACGACCAACCAGGGCCGGGGACAAATTGCAACCGAGGTACGCGCCCTTAGCGGGAACCGAACCCGGGTCTCTCAGGACCGCAGGTCGATGCTCTAACCGCTGAGCCAAAACGGCCAGGGCAGGGCTTCCACTTTTACTTTGGGGAAAATGGGGTGCACTTGGAAGGTTTCAAGCTGAGAAGGGACACAATTGATTTGTTTTAAAAGAATCGCTTTCGTCCGGCTGGTGTGGCTCAGTGGTTGAGGGTTGACCCATGTACCAGGAGGTCGCCAGTTCTATTCCTAGTCAGGACACATGTCCGGGTTGTGGACCTGATCCCCAGTGGGGAGCATGCAGGAGGCAGCCAATAGATGTTCTCTCTTGTCGATGTTTCTATCTCTCTCTCCCTCTCACTTCCTCATTCTGTAAAATCAATAAAGGAAAAATAAATAAATAAAAGAATCGCTTTGGCTTCCGGAAGGAGAAATATCACGGAGGCACCAGCAGTAATTCAGGTGAGAGGTCATGAGAACTGGTAGGATTTTGGTAAAACCAACAGGTGGGGGCCGTGAGAGAAACGGAAGTGTCAGGGTGACTACGCCTTTGGCATGGGCCACTGGAAGGAGGGAGTTCCAGTAACAAATGGGAGGCCGAGGAGGAGCAGGTGCTCTGTTTTAGACACGTTAGGCTTGCGGGGACTTCAAACATCCAAGATGAGATGCCAAGTCCAAGGCGAATGTACAAGTCTGGAGTTTTGGAGGGAGTTGTGGGTTGGGATAAAATTTGGGGTATGGTTCCAAGCATGTTTAAAATGTCCATAAGCCCTCACATAATGCTTGTTGAGTCTTCTCTGGGATAATCTTTCTGGAGAGCAATTTGGCAATGTTTCAAATATTAAAATGTGCATACCCTTTGGCCAAGCAATTCTAATTCTAGGATATTATATTTTTATCTAATTCTATGATATTATCTCTATATTACATACAGAAACACTGCACAAGGTAAAGTTCATTAGCAGGGACCTGGTTAAATAACTTACATTCTATACATTGGGTTCCCTTGCATCTGTTTTTTAAGAAAAGAAATAGTTTTCGCCCTGGCCAGTTTGGCTCAGCAGTTAGAGAGTCGGCCTGTCGTCCAGAGAAACGCAGGTTCGGTTCCTGCTAAGGGCACATACCTCTGGAGGATAAAAAAAAAAAAATTTACAATGTGTGTGGGAACCCAGAAACAGACAGACAAAAAATCTGGTCAGCAGCACAGGTTGTAAAATGAAGAAGGCAGCTTAAGAAATTCCATTTGTGCTGCTGAACTCACAGGAGAGGGGCTTGCAAGTGGCTCAAAGGTGGTCCACGCCCTTGGTTACTGTGCACGGTTTGAACCATTCATTTATTTGGTTAGTCAGAGAGCAAACAAATTGAATGCTGGGCACAGTGGAATCAGGGATGAATCCAGCTTCTCAGGCAGGAAGATACCAGTAGAAGAGGAGCCGAGAGTGGGGCTGGGGGAAGCACAGAGGAAAGGGGAGAACAAGGGAAGAGGGTGTGTCATTAGGAGGGAATGTGCAACAGCAGATAGTGAGTGCTAAAAGGTGGAGGAAGCCCTGGCTGGTTTGGCTCAGTGGTTGGAGCATTGGCCTGCGGTCCAGAGAGAACAGGGTTCAGTTCCTGCTGGGGGCACGTACCTCAGTTGCAGTTTGTCCCTGGCCCTGCTTGGGTCGTGAGGGTGGCGGCCATTTGATGTGTCTCTTTTACGTCGATGTTTCTCTCTCTCTCCCTCTCTCTCCTTCCCACTCTATCTGAACAAAAAATGGAAAAATGTCCTCGGGTGAGGATAAAAAAAATAAAATAAAAAAATAAAAGGTCGAGGAAGAAGAGAGCAGAGGAGTGGCTATTGACATTGGAGGAATTGAAGGGTTGCTGGAGATGTCAGCCTGGACAGAGCAGAGGGGACTGAAGCCAGAGGGTGGGAGGGGGCAGAAAAAAGGGGAGATCTCCCAGGCTGGGTCAGACTCCCTGTGACCTACTCTGAGGCTGACTGGAGGCAGGGTGGAAAGACCAAAAGTGATGGCAAGATTCTATTATCCTGTCCTTCCCTACCACAGGGAAGGGGGCCAGGAGCCTCCATAGGAAAAACTGCTCCTACTTACAAGACCACTCCATTGGGGCAAGCCCACTCCTAATAGTAGAGCAGTGGAGGCCCCGAGCAGATGTGCCACACACATCTCCTTCATGCACCACTGGGGACCTTGCTTGTGTGTAGACAATTGGACAAACCAGCCCCCTTTGCCTAAGCTCCTTCCACCTCCCACCAAAGCTGCCCCTTAAGTGTAAATACCAGTCAGCAATGGGAAAGAAAAGGCCTGCACAGGCCCTGTCAATAGCTCAGGATGTTTAGGCAGATAATTTTGGGGTCCCAGGTACTCGGAGGGCAGGCATGGGGCATGTTACCTTGGCCTATTGGTCTCCTCTGTAGAGAAGGGTGCAGCTGGAGGAAAGCCAGAGCAGGGTCCTCTCAAGTACATAATCTGGGGCAGTGTCCCTAGAGTGCCAGCTTTGGGGACAAAGTACTGTAAAGGACAGATGAGGGAGCTAGGCCCAACCAAGAGAAGCGGAAGTGAGCCAGGTCTGTGGGCAAGCACCCTGGGGCTCATCTCAGGAAGTGGGTTTCAGGCTGTAAGGCACACAGACTCACCCCAGGAGTAAAGACTGGTTTGTTGTATCGCATGTGAGCAGAAGCCACACTGTGCCAATGATGACGGTCAACAGGATGTCAAACTGCTGCCCTGGACAGGAGCAGCTCTCTTCCTGAATATCTCAGCAGGCAATATAAGTATCCACCTGGTTGCACATACAGGATATTTGGGAGCCATTCTTCTCTCTCACTCTCATTATTCATCAGCAAGTCTTGTCCTTTCTACCTTTTAGATTTATCGCTAGTCAATCCCACTCCTGAACTTTTATGTCTTTCCCTATGTGGTGCTCTCTCCCTACTTTTGCACAATGGGGAACTTCTGCAGTGAGTGCCCTTTTCCCTTCTCTCCTGGCTTACTTCTTACTCATCCTTTTTTTTTCTTCCACTGAAAAAATTGAAGTATAATTTATATAGAGTAAAAATCATGCTTTATAGGATACAGGTCCATGAGGTTTGACAAATTCATATAGTTTTGTAAACACCACCACAATTGAGATATAAATCCTTTTCATCACCCCCAAGAAATTCCTTCATGCTCCTTTGAAGCCAACATTAATTCTTTCTGTCTGGTCCGCGGGCTGACGTTCTAACTGCCAAGCCAAACCGGCCAGGGCCCAACACTAATTCTTATCACCAGCACCTAGGAACCACTGACCTATTTTCTGTTTTGCATTTTCCAGAATGTCATATAAATGGAATCATTCAGTATGCATGGCCTGTTGGAATGGTCTTTTACCTAGCAAAATGCATTTGATAATTCATCTATGCTGTTGTTTATCAATCATCTGTTTCCTCTTTATTGTTGAGAGTATATATAGAGGTACCACAATTTATTTATCCTTTCACCAGTGGATGGGACACTTGGGGTTTTTCCAGTTTTTGGAGACTATGAATAAAGCTACCTTAAACATTTGCATATGGGGTTCTGTGTGCCCATAAGTTTTCATTTCATTTGGGAAAATACCTAAGAGTGGGATTGCTAAATGTGTAACTTTATTTTTTTTCTTTATGGATTTTTTTAGAGAAAGGAAGCAAGAGGTAGAACATTGATGAGAGAGAACATCAAATGGCTGCCACCTCCTGCATGTCCCTCACTGGGCATGCCCCTTATTTGGCCCACAACCTGGGCATGTGCCCTGACCGGGAATTGAACTGGTAATCTCTTGGTGCGTGGGTGGACACTCAACCACTGAGCCACACCAGCCGGGTTGAATGTGTAACTTTATAGAAACTACCGAGCTGTTCTCCAGAACTGCCATACTAGTTTGTATTCACATCACAGTATATGAGAACTCAATTTGCTCCACACCTCACCAGCACTTGGTTTGTTGGTTGATTGATTTTTTGATTTGTTGGTTGACTGATTTCATATTCTACTAAGTGGGTAGTGCTTTCACATTGTGGTTTTAATTTCCCCTCCCTTGATGACTAATGGTGAGTCTACTCATTCTTTTAAACCTCTGTGTGGTCTTTACTTCTTCCAAAAAGCCATTGTTCACGTTCACTCGAAAGACCAGTTAAGTTCCATGTGGCTCCCAGCACAGAACTGAAACAGAATCTTTATACAATAAATATTAAATGAGCAAATTAACGACTGCTTAACAAATTAAAAAATGGACGGATGAGATAGGTAGTTAGGAACCAGGTTTTGCAATTAGACTGTCCTAGCTGTGCCAATTAACCCTTTCTCCATTGAGCTCCTCTAACCTTTTCTCTAATAAACGCACCTGAAGACAGGTGCTGCTGCTGCTTAGAGTATTTATGAAGATGACGACACGGACGACGCAGTGGAAGAGGGAAGCAAAGCGGAAAAGGCGGGACCAGAAGCGGAAGTGCAGCAGGGAGCTAGCGGCGTCTTAGTTGTCATGGAGACCGGACGAGCCAAGGACCGCCATTCAGCCAAGTCCGGGTCTTACGCGTTCGCGGGAACAACGTGGACGCCATCCTCACATCTGGCCCGGATCCGCAGCCCCAGCCAGTCCACCTGGCTGTCCTCTCTCGCCTACCCCGAGGCTTTCCATCGCGGCTTCAGGAGTCGGCCCCGCCGCCTCTCGCCGCCTACGCTCCCCCTGCTCCCCGAGCCGCAGCTGCTGCGTCTGCGTCCCACCTCTCTGCGCACCCAAGAAATCTCGCACTTGCTCACCGGCGTCTTCCGTAATCTGTACACCAACGAGGTTTTCGGCGACGAAGTGAGCACAAATTTGATCAAGGCCCGCGGCAGCGAGGATGCGGTCCACGAGGAGTTCGTGGACGAGCTGCAGCAGGTAACACGTCCCTGCACCCCCGTGCTCACAGGGGGCGCGGGGCCGTCGCTCCTGCGGACAGTGTGGAGGACCCGGGCGCGCCCGCAGACAGTCGGGCTCCTGCCGGACTCCACTGCTCGACAGGTATCAGAACCTGCCCGGTGCCAGGCGCTGTTCCAAGCACCGGGGATGCAGCTGGGAAAGAGTCCCTGACGTAGTGTTCCCGACATTCTAGCGGAAGGAAACTCTAAACACATACTTATACAAATATACACATACACACATTATATACAGGCATACCTCGCAGATATTGCGGATTTGGTTCCATTTCACCGTAATCAAATGAGTATGCGATAAAGCGAGTGGTAATCATTTTGCTGGTGAAAGGTCTGGCCTTCGATTTGTTTTAAGAAAAAACACCTGTGGAGCGCAATAAAGCGAATCGCAATAAAACGAGGTGTGCCTGTATCGTACATATACAGAAAATGACTGGCACAGATAGCGAAATAGTTGTTGCCTGGAGATAAAGCTAAAAGTCAGGAGACAGGTTTTCCAGCTTGCCTCTGTTACTGACTTGCCTGTGAACATTTATGCCATTTTCCTCTGTGGGTCTCAGTTTTCACAATCGTCAGGTTGGACCCTCTGGTCTCTATAGTTCTGTGACTGTTCTATGCTTCACAGGAAGCTCTGATGCTGGGGTGAGGTTCAGTAAAGCTATGTGATCTCATACTTATGTGCATTTGATCATCCACCTGCCAGATTCGGAAGCTCTATAAGCAGCGGTTGGATGAGTTTGAAATGTTGGAGAGACATATCATTCAGGCCAGTGCACAGGCCATTGCGGAGAAAGAGCGGTGCATGCACCAGGCCAAAGTACTCAACCTTGAGTCCTTCATCAAGATGCCTCCAGGTGTGTATAAAGGACTCCCATATGCCTTTCACCTGATCCCCAGCTGTGAGTATATTACTGTATTTGCTCCATTGCTCACTCTCTAGTCTTTATCTGAACATTTGAACAGCCAGTTGCAGATGTGATGTTTCATTACCACAAAACACTCCAGTGCACGTCTCCAAAGCAGGGACACTCTCCTACATAACCAGCATACAACCCTCCAAGGCAAGAAATCAGCATTGGTGCAATGTTAACCTCCGGTTTACAGATCTCGTTCACATTTCACCAGCTGGTCCAGGATCCTGTCTAGGAAGTCATGATACATATAATCGTCATGTCTCTTTTATTAGACTTTTCCTTTGGAACAATTCTTTTACCTTTTCCTGTCTTTCATGTTCTTGACAGTTTAGTTTTTCCAGTTTTTTTTTGTTGTGGTAAAATGCACATAACAAAATTTACTTTTTTAACCATTCTTAAGTGTACAGTCCAGTGGTTGATATAAATATATTCTAATGTATAACCACCACCACCATTTATCTCCATGACTCTTTTCATCTAATAAAACTGAAACTTTATACCTATTAAACAGTAACTTCCTATCCCCCCCTACCAGAGCCCCTGGTAACCACCATTCTACTTTCTGTCTCTGGAATGTTGACTACTCTAAGTACCTCTGATTTGTGGAATCAAACAGTATTTGTCTTTTTTGCAACTGGTTTATTTCACTTAGCATAATGTCCTTGAGGTTCATCAATGTTGTAGTATATATTGGTGTTGAGTTGTATGAGTTCTTTGTAAATTTTGAATATTAACCCCTTATCAGATATATCATTGATGAATATCTTCTCCTGTTCAGCAGACTGTCTTTTTGTTTTGTTGATGGTTTCCTTTGCTATGCAAAAACTTTTTAGTTTGATGTAGTCCCATTTGTTTATTTTTTTTCTTTTATTTCCCTTGCCCCAGGAGAGATACATAAGAAAAAGTATTACTAAAAGAAATGTCAGAGATTTTACTGCCTATGTGTTCTTCTAAGAGTTTCATGGTTACATTTAAGTCTTAAGTCCATTTTTAGTTTATTCTTGTATATTGTGTAAGAAGGTAGTCTAATTTCATTATTTTGCATCTATCAGTCCAATTTTTCCAGTCTATTTATTGAATAGACTGTCTTTACCCCATTATATGTTCTTGCCTCCTTTGTCATATATTAATTGGCCATGTAGGTGTGGGTTTATTTCTGGCTTTTCTATTCTTCCATTGATTTTTGTGTCTGTTTTTATGCTAGTACCTTGTTGTTTTGATTACTATAACCTTATAATATGGTTTGATGTCAAGTAGCCTGATATCTTGAACTTTGTTCTTTTTCAAGATTGCTTTGGTTATTTGGGGTCTTTTGAGGGGCCATATAAATTTTTGGATTATCTGTTCTAGTTCTGTGAAAAATACCATTGGTATTTTGACAGGAATTGCATTGAATCTATAGCTTGCTTTGGGTAGTGTGGACATTTTAATGATGTTAATTCTTTCTATCCATGAGCACAGTATATGCTTTCATTTATTTGTATCTTCTTCATTTATTTCTTCAGAGTCTTATAATTTTCTTAGTGCAGGTCTTTTACATCCTTGGTTAAATTTATCCTAGGTATTATTTTTATGCAATTGTAAATGAGATGCTTTCTTAGTTTCCCTTTCTGATAGCTCAGTTTTGGTGTATAAAAATATGACTGATTTCTGAATATTTGCTTTGTATCTTGCTACTTTACTGAATTTATTTATCAGTTCTAGTAGTTTTTTTTATTTTTTTTATTGATTTTTAGAGAGAAGAAGAAAGAGAGAGAGAAACATCGATGAGAGAGAACATCAATTGGCCACCTTCTGCATGCCCCCCACTGGGGATTTGGCCCACAACCTGGGCATGTGCCCTAACCGGGAATCGAATCGGCAACCTACTGGTGCATGGGTCGACATTCAACCACTGAGCCACACTGGCTGGGCAGTTCTAGTAGTTTTTTGGTGGAATCTTTAGAGTTCTCTATATACAGTCATGTCATCTGCAAATAATGATAGTTTTACTTCTTCCTTTCCAATTTGGATGCCTTTTATTTCTTCTTCTTATCTGATTGCTATGGCTAGGACTTCCATTACTATGTTAAATAAAAGTGGTGAGAGTGGACATCCTGTCTTGTTCCTAATCTTAAGGGAAACACTTTTAGTTTTTCCTAGTTGAGTATGGTGTTAGCTGTGTTTGTCATATATAGCTTTATTATGTTGAGGTGTGTTCCCCCTATTGCCACTTCGCTGACAGTTTTTTTGTTTGTTTTGTTTTTAATTGTTTTTAGTTTTAGAAAGGGAGGAAGAGGAGAGAGAGCGAGAGAGAGAAACATTGATATGAAAGAGACACATTGATCTGTTGCCTCCCGCACACACCAAACTGGAGGATCACACCTACAACCTAAGTGTGTGCCCTGATCAGGAGTTGAACCTGTGGCCCTCCAGTGTACCAGCATGGGGTGACGTTCCAACCAATGGGGACACACCAGCCAGGGCACTTTGCTGAGAGTTTTGATCATAGATGGGTACCGGATTTTGTCAAATGCTTTTTCTGCATCTATTGATACGATCATATGTTTTTTATCCTTTGTTATGTACTGTATCATGTTAATTGATTTGCGGATATTGTACCAAGCTTGCATCTACAGAGTTTGCTGGGTTTTGTTTTGTTTTGTTTTTTAACTATTGTAGGCCGTATGTGTTGAGAGTTAGCCTGAGGTATAAACTTAAGGTCTTCTCAGGGCTTTTCTGAGCTTTTCCTTGGGCATGTGTGATCATATTTTAATTTCCACCACATATCTAGTCGTTTTTTTAGTATTATAGTGTTTGATATCTGGCTCCCATAAGCGGAAAAAGAGAAAGACGAAAGGGTAGGATAGAAGTGCGAGCCCTTTCAGTTCCCTGGAAGTCACTTCAGCTGGAGGAGGGAGGTTTCCCACAGTGAGGGGCGCTGCAGCAAAGGCTGCTGCCTCTTTGTCTACACCTCTGTGATCAGAAGCAGTAATCAGCAATCAGAGCACAGATCCCTGGTTTTTGGAGAACAGGCTCTGATTGTTCACCCAGATTCCCACAAACTGTATGCAGGTTGCCCCAGAAACATGGGCACAGATGCCAGCTCTGGGATCAGAGATGAGGGGTGGATACGAACTACTGTGCTAGGAGCTGAAGTTAACCACGATTTAACCAAGTCTTTCCCCAGAAGTGATGAGCCTTCCATAGACTCCAGAGTTCCAAATTAGTTACATTAGACTGACTGCCAGTGCAGTGGTCCCGGTGGAGAGACAGATTGCTGGTGGTTCTACGTCACACCTTCCCAGAATCCCCTCTTGACAGGCCTTTCATTCTGTAGGAGGTTCTAATGTTTTGTCGCAACCGGACTCAGACTCCTTTTCGGCAGCAACACTACATAGATTACGCTGTGTTCTCCTCACTGGGGCCGTCAGGCGGCACAGGTGATGTTAGCCTTGATCACCTGGTCAGGATGGTGCCTGTGGAGATTCTCCATGTTCAGTTCTCCAAGTCAAATGGTAATTTATTGGTATTTTGTGGAGAGGTATTATCAGATTTCACCAATATCTTGTCCCTCACGAAAGCTCCATCACCACACCATCAGCATTCACCGAAAACTCTTTCTATGGTCATGCTTTCCTGAGTCAACATATTTGTTAAAAAAAAACAAAAAACAAAAAAAACTGTGTTATTTTTTCTGTAGACATTTCCACAGTCTGGTTTTGCTGATTTCAGTGTTGTGGTGGTGTTTAACCTGTTCTTATGATCATCCCGTATTTCCTGCAATTCAGTGGTTAGTTCTAGAGACTGCATGAGGTTTAGGTTCAATTTTTTTCCCCCAGGAGTGGGAGGTGTGTGTGTGTGTGGGGGGGGGTAACCAAGACCACTTCGGAGATGGTGCCCTGTGCTTCCTTCAGGAGGTGCTTGGTGTCTGGTAGCTCTTTTCATGATGCCGGCAGCCTTTGCCCGCATCTGTTTTTTCACTGGGGTTGTAAATTATAATGAAATGCTAATGGTACTACAATTCTTCTATGAAGAGAAGCTTTTCTTTGATTGCCCCGGGGTATGAGCAGGCTTAATTCTTTCCCCTTGTTTGCCAGGTTTTAAGATAATGAGTTGGCCCCCTGGCAGCTTTCAAACAGGACTGATGAGCTTTATTTAGTTTGTTTTCACTAGCATTAACTCATGGATTTCATAACTACAATTATATTTATTATCCTTACTGATGCTCCAGCTGTCCCATCTTTGGCCAATCTGAGCCTTTTCAAGTTGACTCCTAACTCTTTGACACAACCTTGTCTTTGATGACTTCCTTACCCTCTGGAATGGTCAGATGTTCCAGGCTCATTTTGCGTATTTATTGCCCCAGACCTGGGATCAGCCATTTCTCTAAGGCCTGGTTCCTTTTATTTCCCCCCAAAAGTTTTATCTATCCTCCTGCAGCCCTGAAAATTATTATTTTCCCAGGCAGTAGGCAGAAGGGACAGTGCTTTTAGGACTGGGAGCTCCGACATATCTGTGGCCTAGAGGGAGGAGAAGAGGACGATGTAGTGGCTTAGAAAGGCCGTCCACTTATGGGCTGCTTTCAGGGACCAGATGCTGCATGAGTGTGTCTGCTGCCAGATCCCATCTCTCTCTTCTATCAGGAAAAAGAGGAAAGATCGCTGACCAGGCAGTGTCAACTTTAATAACTAAATTAAATAACTTAACTAGATTAAGTTACTTAACTAGATTAAATGGCTTCCCTTAGGGTGTGGCTGTGAGCATGAGGCCCTGTCCTCTGTGGGGCCTGCCGCCTCTGAGGCTCAGGTCCCATGAGATCGTCAACATTCCGCACAGGTTCCCTGTCTCCTCCGGTTTCCCTCCCCCACAGCGGTCATGGAGCTGCCGGCTCCCTCCCTCAGCCCCTGATTCGGGCAGAGCTTGTTGGTAGCAGATTCTCAGGAGGTTTCACTAGTTGCCTGATATCCCCAAGCCTTGGGAGTCAGACACCATCTCTGTGTCCTTGTCTTTGGTAGGATTCTTTTGACTACAGATCAGAGGAGATTAAATAATTGTTTGGGTTTGTTTTTGTTTTTGTTTTTAAATGAAAGGGAAATAAAACATTGAGAACTGGGAAACAGACATCAGTCAGAGGAATTTTTCAACGACCTTCATTTTTTTATTCAAACAATATTAAGTTATAATCAGACATTTTCTGCCCTAGTTTCTCAGCCTTCTGCTGGTAATGTTTCTCTCTTTTATTTCAGAAGTAACAGAAGTATAGACCTTAGTCCAGTTCCCTGGACACGCCTCTGGTCCTTTCTTCTCAGTGTGGGGCAAGGTGACCCAAAAACCTCTTTTTGTATTTTGTTGTTGTTGTTGTTAATCCTCACCTGATGGTATTTTTCCATTGATTTTTATATAGAGGGGAAGGGAAGGAACGAGAGAGAGAGAGAGAGAGAGAGAGAGAGAAACATCAGTGTGAGAGAGACACATCAACTGCTTGCCTCCCACACGACCCCATTCGGGTATGTGCCCTTGACCAGGAATTGAACCCACGACCCTTTGGTCCATGGGCTGACACTCTAACCACTTAGCCAAATCGGCCAGAGCAAGAACCTCTTTTTTTTTAACCCTCACCCAAGGATAGGTTTTTATTCACTTTAGAGAAAGAGGAAAGGAAAGAGAGAGAGAGAATAGCATTGATGTGAGAGAGAAACATTGATTGGTTGCCCTCCCCACCCCCACACGCACCCCAACCAGGAATCAAACCTGCAACCTTTTGGTGTATGGGCTGACACTTCAACCAACCGACCTGGCCAGGGCCCATGAACCTCTTTTAACTTAGGTGACTGATGGCAAGGACATTCCCTGAAACCCTTCTTGAGGCACAGGGGCAGCCTTTCTGCATTTGCCACTACAGATGTCACAGGGCAGAAAAAACATATGTAAATGTCTCCCAGACAGAGGGAGAAAGATCCGAGTTCTGCAGGACACCTTGCACTTTCATTCCCTTCCCTTGCTGGTAAATTGTCCACACTATCTTTGGGAGACTGGAGGAGCCAACCCCTTGCAGAGCCGTGCGCAGGGGCACAGGGGCAGTGCAGGAAGCCCACCCTTCCCGAGATGGTCACAAGGCCAGTGCAGGGCTGCCCAAAGCTCACCGGGTACATAGTCCAGGCCTGACATGGAGAGACTTTCCAGAGATCGGGTGAACAAACTGCCCCCTGCTTCTGCAGACTAACACCTAACCACCCACGCCCCAGGGGAGGACTGTGGAGAATGGCATCAGAGGGGAGAGGGTACGTCTTCCCACATGGCCTCTGGCCTTCGTGTGAAAGTCTGGTCTTGCAATGCTTCGGAGAGGCCTTCGCCAAAGTCTCTGAGAACTGGGCTAGATTGTGTCAACTTGGCATTGCTGCCACTCCCTGCCGAGGTCTCTGGATTAAGGAGAGGCCAGGGAGTGAGCCTATCCCCCAGAATGTACCTCTCCCTGATGGTGAGCTTTCGAAGGGAAGGCCACTGTTCTCAAGAAGCAGCAGCAGGCAGGTGACTAAGCAGCTGTGGATTTCACAGCGGCTGCCAGATAACTTCCCAAGAACCCCGGCCTCAGGGCTGTTGGCTGAACTTGTTCACGATGGTTCCCCGACTTCCTCCCTCCCACTCCATAATCCCCTGCGTTCGAACCAACCCTTTATACGTGACATACGCAGAGTAATTTCTGTTTTCCCCATCAAACCCTGACTGTTGCAGTAACTAGGCCAGATCTCAAAATCCCCAAATTAACATGAGTGGAGAAGAATGTAGCCTTCACTTGTCTCTCCCGTACCTTCAGTTATAGGAACCTCCAAGAGAGAGGCCATTTAAAATCACCATGTTGGTCAATGGAGCAAGCAACAATGTTGGAAAACGTCTAAATCTTCTACTCATCCTATTTATTTCTTAGTTTTTGTCAATGTATTAATAGACATGGTTTAAGAAAGTCAAATAACTTAGGAAAGCTTCTAACGAAATATAAAAAGCCTCTACCTATTTAGGTCATTATACATTTGTCCAAACTCTTAGCATGTACCCAGAGTGAAACATAGTGTACACTGTAGACTTTGGGTAATAATGCTGTGTCTGTTGTAACAAATGTACCACTTTCGGGGGGACTTTGATAATGGGTGAGGTAGAGAGTACCTATAGGAAATCCCTATACCTTCTGCTCAGTTTTGCTGAGAACCTAAACTCTAAATAAAGCCCATTGAAAAAAATTACTCCACCTCATCTCTCCCAACCTCAGTCCATTTGCTGAAGGTGGCCATGTCTAGCTTTAATTCTTCTGGACACCTCTAAATACTATGTCTTGACTACTGTTTCTTGGCTCATTAACCATAAATATTAATCACTGACTTCCCACTCTATTAAATAAGATTTTCTCTCTCACGTGTCTGTGGGTCAGTGGGGGTAGGATAACCTAGGCTGGGGTTGGCTGTCTGGACCGGCTTCAAGCTCTGGTTCTGGCTGAACTTGGCTCCTTGCTGCAGGTTAGGCTCAGGTCTGCCCCATGTGGATTCATGCCAGGGTGCAACATGAAGGGGCAGGAACTGTCCTCGTGGGCAGGGAAGCTCTTCTCCCATGTTGGCAAAGGCGCAAGAGGGAGAGAGCTCAGCTGCAAGGCACTTTGCAAACCCCTGCCAACATCTCAGTGGCCAGAACACATCGATCGCATGGCCCAAGTCAGTGGGAACTGCGCTCTGTCTGTGGTAGCAGGGGTCACATGGCCAAGGAGGTGGATACGGAGACGAGCGAATAACTGGCCGTTTATTTAATCTACCATGCTTCTCTTAATGCCACTTTGTTACAGACCTCTCTGTGAATAACCATATTTTAGCTCAGACAATCCCACGGTACAGCCTTACCCAATGGATGCCCTCTTTTTCTTTTTTTTCCTCACTCGAGGACATTTTTGCATTTATCTTCAGACAGAGCGGGAGGGAGAGAGGGAGGAAGAGAGAGAGAGAAACATTGACGTGAGAGAGACACATCGAGTGGCTGCCACCCACACGACCCCAACCGGGGCCAGGGACAAACTGCAACCAATGTGCTTGCCCTTAGGGGAACCGAACCCGGGTCTCTCTGGTCCACGGGCCGACGCTCTAACCACTGAGCCAAACCGGCCAGGGCTGGGTGTCCTCTTGTAAGTGGCTGGTAAACATGTGCTGATTCGTTTCTTAAATCTGAAAATTACCACAGCGTTCTGAAAAAGAATCTTGTTAGATGGTTTAGGCTCAGAGGATGAAGAAAGCTTGGGTGTAGCTTCTTCACCGTTAGTCGGGCTTGCAACACCTCTGTCCTCGTTCCCTTCTGTGTAGTGAAGACTGTCTTCAGATGGTGTGTGGACAGTAAGTTGCTACAGAAACATCATCTTATCTGCCCGGACGATTACTACAGCGACGCAGCACCATTTTGCTCTGCACCTAAAGGTAATGCTTCTGTATTCCCGTAGAGCCTCTGCTGCCGTCCCAGGGACTCCCTTTGCTGCCAATGCCTTGTTCGTGGGGTTTCTTCCCCCTTTTCTTTAATTTTGATAGTGACTATTGGGAGGGTCACATCTGAGCACGCCACTCCCTCAACTCCTCAGTGTGAAGTAGATGCTCTTGTCAGCTGCTCAATGCCAAGAGATAGGAAAATGTTTGGAAATGTATTTGAGTGAACCATGAAACAAAATCAAATACAAAGACCTTACGGGTTTCAATGAAGGCATAGATAAGCAAGGAAGCACATTCCTGAGGGAGTCGGAGCATGGCCCTAGGGGTTCCCATGCCCCACACAGGGCCAGAACAACTTCTCACCCTGTGAATGGAGGGAAGGCAGAGAAGGGTGTGTGAGACAGAGATTGATGGATTATTTGGGCCAGTTTCCTGTGCTATGAGAGGCATGATCTGAGAATGAGTGGGACGGGAAGCTGGGTTGTGGGCTTAAGTAAGGAGGTAGTTTTTGGAGGAGTCACTGTGGATTTTGTGGCCAAACATCAGGCCGGCCTGCTGGGGCCCGGCTCAGAGGAGGAGCTCTCCGGCTGCCCTGGACTGTGAGCCTCTGCTGATCTCCGGGGCTCTGGAGCGGAGGGCTTGGGGTGGGAGGGCTGGGATCCGGGAGCTGAGCGTGCTGATGTGCGCAGCGTTCCAGTGGCAGCCTGAGCTGTGCGGAGAGGTAAGGCCAGGCGTGGTAGCAGAGCCACGTGTCGTGGGATACTGCGCCTCTCGGCACTTTAAGGTCAGACGGAACCCACTGTCTCACGCAGATCGAGAAGGGTGGCGTTAACACGCATTGAGGATTTATCAGGCAGTGTGCTGGAAGTGTGCAGAGGTACTCGTTTCTTTGCATTCTTGCTAGCAATGAATGTCTTCATTTAGCCTTTGGAGAGGATCTTAGAGGTATGAAGAAACAGTCCACATTTTGATTCCTGTGTGAGCTTTTAAGAAGCATGTTCACATATCGAACACGTGTGTGTGGATGACAGCGTTCTACTCATGTCCTTTGACCATGTTCGACAACAGACATTTTCACACTCAAGGCCTAAGTCTCGAGTACTTAAAATCAGGTCCAGGAGTCATTTGTATGCTGCAGAGCAAGTACATCTGGTAGCAAATGTGAAAGCTTAGGACAAACTATCGAGTGGTTTATTTAGTCATCTCAGAAATGTCCACCTCCTCACCTTGGTGTGGTAACTCAGCGTGTTTCCAAAGGCAACTTGGTCCCTGGCTATTTGAAGCCGACGTTCAGCTGTGAGAAGCGCTCCGTCCCGAAGAAAGAGCTGACCGAGAAGCTCGAGGCCGCCCGCAGGCAGACGCTGAAGTCTGAAGACGAGGCAGACCACACCATGGACAGCCTGTCCTGGGACTCATTCTTAAAGGCCAAGTGCAGGAGCAAGGACACGGCCAAGGTCAGTGCTGAAGCCTGTGCACAGCTGGGGGCGGGGGCAGTGGGGACAGGGAGATGGTGCGGGGAAGGAGTTCCAGGTGCCAGGGAGAGCTGTGGTAAGTGCACAGCTAAGCAGACAGGAGACTTCTCATGAGCCCCCTGTGGGCCATGCAGTTGGCCTAGATGTCAACACACACAGTCCCTCCGCCTGGCATTGACGCTATACTTTTATTGTGTTTCAAAGAAAGCAAGTCCACCAAAGAATAAAAACTGGATGAACCATTTACGAATGCCACAGAGAAAACAGGAGCGACTTCTCCTTGCCAGGATGGAGAGGCGGAACTGCTTCCTAAAAAACCCTCGGTTTTTCCCTCCTAACACCCGCCGTGGAGGCAAGTCTCTCATCTTCCCTCCCATGAAGCCAGCACCGAATGGAGAAGCCCAGCCTGGAGAGCTGGAACAGAGGTGTGTCTTTCCATGGCTCGCATTCTCAGAAAACCTGACCCTTTATATATATATATTTTTTTATCCTCACCCGAGGACATTTTTCCATTTTTTGCACAGATAGAGTGGGAGGGAGAGAGAGGAAGAAACATCGACGTGAAAGGGACACATCGAGTGGCTGCCACCCGTACGACCAACCAGGTCCAGGGACAAACTGCAACCGAGGTACATGCCCTTAGCGGGAACCGAACCCGGGTCTCTCTGGACCGCAGGCCGATGCTCTAACCGCTGAGCCAAACCGGCCAGGGCAGAAAACCTGACCCTTTAGAGCAGTGAGTTTCAACCAATGTGCTGCAAGAATTTTTAAAACATGCAACACCTGCCCTGGCCGGTTTGGCTCAGCAGTTAGAGCATCGGCCCATGGACCAATGAGTCGTGGGTTCGATTCCAGTCAAGGACACATACCTTGGTTGCAGTTCATCTCTGGACCTGGCCGGGGTTGTGTGGGAGGCAACCAATCAGTCGATGTGTTTCTCTCACATCAATGTTTCTCTTTCTCTCTCTCTCTCTTCCTCCCACTCTATCTGAATATAAATAGAAAAATATCCTCGTGTGAGGCTTAAAAAAAAAAAAAAATGTAATACCTGACTATTTAGTCAGGGGCACTGACCTCTCTTCCCTTAGGTTGTCAAATAAAAAAAATGACAACAGCCAACACAACAATAGCCATCTTGTGCAAATGAATCAAAATTATACTTTTTTTTTTTTTTTTGTCAGATTGGCAAAAAATATATTTTTTGGTGTGCTGCAGAATTTCAGTAATTGATTTATGTGTGCCATGAGATGAAAAAGGTTGAAAATTGCTACTTTAGAGTAAAAGCCAAAAGATTCAGGGTGTGATCTGGCTTACGAAGGATTCTAGACTTTGCAAGGGGACAGGATGTCATTATCAGGGCTACCCACAGCTGTGGCCTTGGGACATCCCCAGAGTCCTGGGTCTGTGCTTTTCCGACCTGCCTGAGACTTGAGGAGTAGGGGTCAGTGTTAGTCCGCTTACATCTCAGCAGTCAAGTGGGAGGAACCTCTGCAGCTACATGCTCCTCCCATTGGGGTGCATATGTCTTAGATAATAAAAAATGCTTAAAATTTGCCCTGGCCGGTTTGGCTCAGCAGTTAGAGCGTCAGCCTGCAGTCCACAGAGACCCGGGTTCGGTTCCCGCTAAGGGCATGTACCTTGGCTGCAGTTTGTCCCCGGCCCTGGTTGGGTCGTGTGGGTGGCGGCCACTCGATGTGTCCCTTTCACGTCGATGTTTCTCTCTCTTCCTCTCTCTCCTTCCCGCTCTATCTGAGTAAAAAATGGAAAAATGTTCTCGGGTGAGGATAAAAAAACAAACAAACAAAAATGCTTAAAATTTGATCAATCACAAATAATTTGTATAACTTGTGATTTCTCTTTAAGCAAGTACCTTTAGCTACATTTCCATAATTGCCTTTAAGAAGGAAATGAGTTGCTTCATGGGTTAATAATTGTAATGGTAAAACTACTAACCTTTCTTTATTAGACAAATAATATCTTTTTATTAAGAAAAATTGGAAGAGACTACTATTTCAAAGGAAAGCAGCACCTATATTAAAAACTCAGTTAACATGTTGATGTTTAAGTGCCCGGAGTTTTCCTGTGCATATTGAAAATGGAATATGTAGCTATACGTATTCTCACGAAGGTTCCATTATGCTGTAAAATTGTTTTGTAACCTGCTTTAACAACAACAAAACCCAGCAACTGACATATCGTGAATCTCTGCGGTAGCTTGGCTGTACCTATTTTACGTGCACCGGTCACTGTGGCATTTCACGCGTGGGTGAAGCTCACCGCCTTCTCCCGCCTTTGCCCTCCCACAGCTGTGCTGACGCTCCAGTGTTCCTCGCTAAGCCACCAGTGGGATTTTTCACGGATTATGAAATCGGATCAGTGTATGAGGTAGAAATCTTATTTCTTAATAGCTCTTACTCCATCTGCTTCCGTTTAAAAAATTTTTTAAAGTTTTTATTATGCAATTCTAAAACCATACGCAAGCCTAGGAAAAGACTCTGATGACCCCTGTGTGTCCACTGCCCAGCTTCGAGAGTTAACTCCAGCCTGCAAATGTGGTTTCATCTATTTTCTTGGGGGGGGGGCACATGTGTACATTGGAGTATTTTAAAGAAAAACTATTATCGCACCCAGCAATATTAATGATGATTCCTTAATATCAATTAATACCCATCCATGTCTGATTTTCCTCCATCTGTTTTTTTTTGGTGTTTTTTTTTTAAGTCAATTTGCAGTTGGTTTCTTTGAATCAAAATTCAAATATTGCATTTGGTAAAATATCTCATTTCTTCTTCAGTTGATAATTCCTCCTCTACTCTCTTCTTTTCTGAAATGTCATTGATTTGTTGAAGAAATTGCGATTTCTTACATCCTGGATTTGGCAAATTACGTTATTGTGATGACATTAAACTTGTAGTTAGATGTAGACGTATGATTAGATTCATATTCAAATTTTTTTTCTTTTAAGCAAGAATATACAATGGGGTAAAGATAATCTATTGAATAAATAATGTTGGGAAAATTGGACAGATACATGCAGAAAGAAAATGAAACTAGGCCACCTTACACCATATACAAGAATAAACCTAAAATAAATTGAAGACTTAAATGTAAGACTGAAGAAAATAAAGGCAGTAAACGTTCTGACATTTCTCTTAGCAATATTTTTTCTGACATATCTCCTGGGGCAAAGGAAACAAAAGAAAAAAATAAATAAATAGGAGTATATCAAACTAAAAAGTTTTTGCAAAGCAAAGGAAACCACCAACAAAACAAAAAGACAGCCTGCTGAATGGGAGAAGATACCTGCCAATGTTACATCTGGTAAGTGGTTAATATCTAAAATTTACAAAGAACTCATGCAACTCAACACCAAAAACAAAACGAAACAAAAAAACAATCCAATTAAAAATGAATAGGAAATGAATAGACACTTCTCCAAAGAGGACATACAAATGGCCAGTAGACATGAAAATATGATTGGTGTTACTAATCATAAGAGAAATGCAAACTGAAACTGCAATGATATACTACTTCACACCTGTCAGAATGGCTATCATCAGTAAATTAACAAACATGTTAGTGAGCATGTGGAGAAAAGTGAACCCTCCTGCTTTGCTGGTGGGAATGCAAACTGGTGCAGCCGCTATAAAAACAGGAAGGAGGTTTCTCAAAAAATTTAAAATGGCCCTGGCTGGGTATTAAGTAGGTTGGAGCGCTGTCCCATACACCAAAGGTTGCAGGTTAAATTCCAGGTCAGGGCCCATACATAGATTGTGGGTTCAATCCTGGGTTGGGCGTGTACAGGAGACAACCAATTGATGTTTTTTGTTTTGTTTTGTTTTGTTTTGTTTTGTTTTTTTTATCCTCACCCGAGGATATTTTTCTATTTTTTTGTACAGATAGAGTGGGAGGGAGAGAGAGGAAGGAGAGAGAGAGAGAAACATCGACGTGAAGGGACACATCGAGTGGCTGCCACCCGCACGACCAACCAGGGCCGGGGACAAACTGCAACCGAGGTACGCGCCCTTAGCGGGAACCGAACCCGGGTCTCTCCGGACCACAGGCCGACGCTCTAACCGCTGAGCCAAACTGGCCAGGGCCAATTGATGTTTTTAACATCAAAATTTCTCTTTCTTCCTCTCCCTCTAAAATTTAAAAAAAAAAAATTTTTTTAAAGAATGACAAAGGTAGTTACAAAATAGTCATGGGGATGTAAAGTAGAGCACAGGGAATAGAGTCAATAATATTGTAATCACTATGTATGGTGCCTGGTGATACTGGAAATATCAGGGGGATCATTTGTAAACTATGTAATTGTCTAACCAGTATGTTGTATACCTGAAACTAATATAACATAATATTGAATATCAACCATAATAGAGTTTTAATTTGTTTTGTTTTGTTGGCAAGAACACTGCTTCGGTGGTGCTGTGTAGTATTACACACCCATTGGGGGAGCAGGCGGCTGCTTTCCCCATTACCAGGGATGAATGGCTTCGGGTGTCGTGAGCCCAATTCCTCCTTTATCAAGCCCTTAGCAACCTTTCATTTAATGGCTTCAGTAGCCTTAAATTATTGTTGCCTAGATCCAGTTTTTAAAAATTGGGGCTTACAAAATGGTAATTTGTTCTTCTATTATTCCTTCTGCATTGGTTAGCTGTGATTTCCTGTTTTAAAAACAACCTTCCCATCCTGGCCGGTTTGGCTCAGCGGTTAGAACGTCGGCCTGCGGTCCTGAGAGACCCGGGTTCGGTTCCCGCTGGGGGCGCGTACCTCGGTTGCAGTTTGTCCCCGGCCCTGGTCGGTCGTGTGGGTGGCAGCCACTCGATGTGTTCCTTTCGCATCGATGTTTCTCTCTCTCCCTCTGTTCCTCTCTCTCCCTCCCACTCTACCTGAACAAAAAATGGAAAAATGTCCTCCGGTGAGGATTAAAAAAAATAAATAAAAAATAAAAATAAAAACAACCTTCCCTCTAACTTCTATTCCTGTCCGCTCTTCCTTGTACTCTTCATACCCCTAGAGGTAACTGTTTCATTCGTTTGGGTTCTTTCACTGTCTCTTGGAATCATAAGCACATATATGGATCTGTTCAAACCCTCTCTCCTTGCTGTCCTCTGCACGTGGCCCGTTTCACTTGACAGCATATTTAGTGATTCCTCCAAGGGCAGCATGTAGACTTTCCTCATTCCTTCTTCCCAGTTTCCTTCTTAACTAACACTAGCCTCCCACCAACCTGAGGAATCAGGTCAAGACCAAGCTTAGCAGTCGCCAGCCCGGCTCACCCGGTGCAAAGACACCTCCTAGGCCCAATCACAACAACCCTCCACATACATGTGCACTGCACTTTGCAGCTTCAAGAGTACTACTTGCAAATCCATCATTCTTTCGGAATTCTTAGACAAATAAGTAAGCGCTAAATGTTAAATCATTTTATTTACCTCGTGAACTTACTAATTATATGTTCTCTTTTGAATTCTGTGTCTGGTTGTCATAGTTCAAAGACAGTTGGAGAAGCTGGCAAAGACCCAGAGGAAGGGAAATAAAATAATTTCAGTTGAGGAGTGATAGGGCAAAGGGGGCGCTGCCTGGGGCTCTCTGAAAGACAGTTATCTGCAGGACCCGTGGTGCCAGCCATGGGCGCCTGTGGAAATGAACACAGACTGCATGGAGCTGTCCTCCCTGTGCCTTTGCCCGCGGTCTGTGGCCATCCCTTTCAGCTTGCTTGGTTGTCACCTCTCCGGAAGACCACCCTGACCTTTCCTCTCTGGATTAAATGTCCCTACTGGAGCCTCTTTTTGTACCATTGGCTCTCTTGTACAATTTTATATTTATCTCCCCCACCAGACTGTCAGTAAACCCTACAATGGCAAGTGTCATTTCTAGGTTTGTGTTATCATTTCATTATCGGTGCCTGCCCATCGTAGACCCTCCGTAAATAAGTGCCAACTGAATTCATGAATAGTTGGGTGTGGGTCTACCTCTCAGTCTTGCCTTCTCCTGCTAAGTAAGGTAAATCTAGAGCCAGTGTTTGACTTTAAAAAGTCGTGTGTGTGTGTGTGTGTGTGCACGCGTGTGCATGCTGGTTCTCAGCAGACTGCTGCCGCTGTGTACCAGAGCACGGCACGGCTTCTCCATGTGGCCTAGGCTTCCACAGAACGGCCACCTCAAGGTAATCAGACCATACTCGGCAGCTCAGAGCTTTTGTGTGAGTATCCTAACCAGCAAGGTGGAGATTGCACCACTTTTGATGACCTAACCTTGGAGGTTACCTTGAAGGAGTAGAGAAAGTCACTACTTCCTCTGCATGTTACAGGTTACAAGTGAGTCACTCAGGTTGGCCCAGATTCCCGGGGAAGATAAAGAGGCCTCACCTCTCCATGGGAGGGGATCTAAGAACTCGTGGGTGTGTTTTAAAACTGCTACAGGTGATAGTTACTAGTAGGTGTAGCAGGCGACCAGATTGGAGGAGGCCTGCAAGCCGTAGGAGACGTGGACTTATGAGGGTGACGTTGATAAGAACCCCCGATAGGTCTAGACATCAAAACAACTTATAAACTTGGTGATGTGTATGATACCAATCTTACAAAGACTTAGTACCCCAAATTTATGAACTCCTACAAATTAATAAGAAAAAGATCCAGTATACAGATGGCAAAGTGGTAAAAGGATGTGAACCAACAACCATGCAAGGAAACCAAATGGCAAATAAACAGGACCAGGCGGTCATCGTCATGAGCAGCAGAATGAGAACTAAGACCATAGTGTGGGTCTCCACACTTGGGTCTGCTCACCGACAGATTAGTGCCATATGTTGTGCTGCCCCAAATGGACAAATACTGATTTAGGAATACATACCTGTAATGAGATTACGAAGACATGCTTCAAATGGATATTGCTATTACCTGATGAGGGGCAGGGATAGGACTTCTTCTGTATTTTTGTTTTTTTTAATCCTCACCCGAGGACATTTTTGCACTTATCTTCAGATAGAGCAGGAAGGAGGGAGGGGGAAGAGAGAGGGAGAGAAACATCAATGTGAGAGAGACACATCGACTAGTTGCCACCCACATGACCCCAACCTGGGCCGGGGACAAACTGCAACCGAGATACATGCCCTTAGCGGGAACCGAACCTGGGACTCTCTGGTCCATGGGCCGACGCTCTAACCACCGAGCACAACTGGCCAGGGCTGCATTTGTATTTTTAACGTTTTATTTCTTAAGCTGAATGATAGAAATATGACTTTTGGCATGTTATAATGCATATATTTTTTCCAGTGTAATATCTCACAAAACAGAAGCAAAGAAGGGTACATGTATTGAGCTCCTCGACTGGGCCTGACACTGTGCGGGGTGCTGGTGGGGGTTAGCGGGTATGAGTTCCAGGCCTTGCCTGAGGGGGGTCTCCTAGTCTGAGTGAGGGTAAAGAAAGACAGGGCTTAATGGGGCTGGGTGGGTTGAGCGAAGGAGACAGGCCCAATTACCACCCTGGCATATGGGTGCCCATAACACCCCTTGACTGGATCCATGGGAAGAAGTGGCCCAAAGGGATATGTGAGGAGGAAGACAGTAGGAGGTGGGGTGGGCAGAGCTTTGGAGCCAGATGTCCTGGGCTCAGATCTCAACCCTGTTACTTACCAGCTAAGGAGTCCCTCTTTTTTTTCTTTATTGATTTTAGAGAGAGGAAGGAAGGAGGAGAGAGAAATAGAAACATCGATGAGAGAGAACATCGATTGGCTGCCTCCTGCATGCCCCACACTGGGGATCTGGCCCACCACCTGGGCACATGCCCTGACCAGGAACCAGGAATCGAACCAGTGACCTCTTGGTGCACAGGTCAACGCTCAGCCACTGAGCCACACCAGCCGGGCTAAGGAGTCTCTTTGAACTTCGGTTTCTTCGGTGTAAAGACCTCTCTGTAGATAGCGCCCCATTCCCGGGGCGAGGATGAACAGACACATGGCAGATGCCTCATGAACAGGGACTGTTATTTTACACAGGGCACAGAACGGGTCAGATATTTCTGCCTTCATGTTCACCTTGTATTTTATTTTTTTCCAAAACGAAACATAGAGATTAGCATAATGAATCCCCATATGTCCATCACTCAGCTCAACAGGTCCCCACACGTGGCCAGGCTTATTTCATCCCCACCCCCATATTATTTAGTAGACCCCAGACCTCCTGTCATCTGTCCATCCGAGTTGCTGCCTCAAAGAGCTCACCTTTGCCTTTGAACAGATGGTCATCTCCCTGCAGAACACCACCTCGACCAGCCGCTGCCTGCGCGTCCTCCCACCTTCCACCCCGTACTTCTCGCTGGGATTGGGTGAGCTTGGCGGAACCCTGTCCACACTGCCTCGGAGTTACGTGCTGGGCTTGCTCCCCGTTCCTGGCCCGCCTGGCCCTCGGACGACTCCTGGTCTGTGTCCTGAGCGAGGCCATTAGCAGGCGCTGGGGCCTCGGGCTCTGCTGGAGGCCTGCCCGCTCTTCCTTCCAGCGAGGTCTCTGCGTCTAGACAGCCCCCTCTCAGATCCCCTCCCTCTGCTCTCTCTTCACCCTGTCACTCAAACCGTCACGGCGGCGTCCCATGTCACAGTATTTTTCTCAAGAACAGCCTATTGTGTCATCCCGCCTCAGGAATCTTAAATGGCTCTTTGTTGCCCACAGAATGAATTCTAAGCCACGGGGTCAGGCATGGCATCACCTAGCCAGTCTGCACGGACCCTCTCCGTCTCCCCACCCTGGTGTCTTTACCTGGAGCCCCTGCCCTCGCAGCCTGCTCCATGGGCACGCCTGGTGGTTCTGCCCAGAGGCATCTACTCCCAGAGCCAGCCCAGCTGCGCGGGGTCTGCCGGTGCCCTCGGGTGCCCTCGGCAGCACTTGACGCCAAGCTCTGGTGGCTGGCTGGTCCCAGATCCTCTTTGTCACTTTGTCACGCACAGGAGTCTTCCCAGGGAATGGTGGAATGGTAGCTCCTGGAATGACCTGCCAGTACACTGTCCAGTTTTTTCCTGACTGCCTTGGGGATTTTGATGATTTTATTTTGGTGGAGACCCAGTCGGCCCACACGCTCCTGATCCCCCTGCAGGCCCGGAGGCCGCCCCCAGTGCTGACACGTGAGTGTGCGCCCTGCCCCCGGGGTTTGGTCAGGGTTGGCGAGTCCCTAGGACTGCGGGCTTCCTGGGCCCTTTGTGGCAGCGCACAGTCTGGCAGGGACTTCTGGGCCCTGAGGAAGGACCCCCAGCAGCATCTCCAGTCTTCCAGTGTCAGTCCGATTGTCCCGCTTCCCAGTGGAGGCTGGCTGAATTTCCATGGCAGGGGAGGGGGCCAGCAGCCCAGCCAGCCCCAGCATGGGCTTCCCTGGCTCATGGACCCCCTGGACGGGGCCTGTGCCACCCTGAGGCAGGGAAGGAGAGCCTGGCGCCTTCCAGGCTGTTGCCTGTGTGGCTGGGGGTGGGATTCTTCAGGAAAGCTGACTTTGGCTGGGCTCCCTCCCTCACAAGCCTCTTCAGCTGGGCACAGGCTGGAAGTTGGGACTGTGATCACCACCCCCAGGGTCACGCCGGGTGGCCCTGGCTGAGGCTGAGTTTCGGTGGGTGCTGACTCCTGTTGCTCTAGCCAGGAGGGCAAGCAGGGCTCAGGCCCTGTCCCCATCCATCTCTCTGCCCGGGGTGCGGGGGGGGGGGGGGGGCTGCTCTGAACTCTGGTTGGACCGCAGGAGAACAAGGGCAGCAGGGCCCATCCACAGTGCCGCGCCACGTCCCCTGTGTGTCTTTCCCTGTGACTGCAGTGTCGCCGGTGTTGGACTGCGGTTGCTGCCTCATTGGGGGGATGAAGATGAGCAGATTCCTCTGCAAAAACGTGGGCTTCAGTGTCGGCAAGTTCTGCGTTATGCCCAAAAAGAGCTGGCCACCCACAAGTTTCAGGGTGAGTGATCGCGATTGCCACCTGGGAAAAGAGCAAATCCATCAAAGGAAATAACCCCCAGCTAGGGACTGCTAGCGTGCACCTGTGATTGGAAACACACAGGAAACAGAATTTTATAACCTCTCTGTCCAAGTGCCACATCCCACGGAGAATCGGTGCGTGGAGACCAGCGCTGTAGCTCTGGTCAGGCCACCAGTGCGGCACACCCTGGGCAAGCGGTGTCACCTGTCTTGTCTTCAGGCCTGGCTCACTGTCACTGCATTTATTCATCAGGCGGGCATTATGGTCGCAAATGTCTGACTACATCAGAGGTCACAAATTGGCAGCCCTTTGGCCGGATTCTGGGGGCACATTTATTGGGCACAGTGCTGAAAAACTTTTTTTTGAGCCAAGATTTACACATCTCTGGGAGATTTCAATCAAAATCTGCATTTCCAGTGTCTTTGGAAATTTTGGAAGATGTGCAGCCTCGGGCCAGGATTCGTGGTGGCCCTGTCGGCTGGAGCAGGGAGCAGGACACATGTCCCTTCTCTCCGGGTTGCTCGGCTCCCCGTCCCCACAGCAGCCGGGCGCTCCCTCATCATGCTCACATCGTCATTTCTCCTGCACTAGAGAGAGCTCTCTGTGCCCCTCTCTCCAGAAAACAACGAAAGATCCAGAGGACCACGGGTTCCACGAGACACATTTCACTCACTTCTGTTACCCGCCACCCTGTAGGCATGGGTCTGTGTCCCTTGCTAAGTGGCTTCCTGTGTAGGCACCTGGGCGGCAGCAGTGCCCACGAGATGGGCTGCTGCCCTCACGCCTCAGGAGCTTATCGCCCGAGCTGGATCAGGGGTGGAGGCAGACACGGGAGCTGGCACCCGCCACGCCGGGTGCTGTGGGGGGAAAGGGTTGTGGTTTGGATACTCCCCTTCTGGGAGGCCCTCTCTCACGCCTCCTGCTCTGTGTCTGAAACACTTGTCAGTGGCAACCTTGTACCCGCCCCCAGCAGTCAGTTCTTGACGGGTGTCCCTCTTCTGCGGCTTCCTCAAACTTAACCTTCGAGGTGCCCAGTGAAGGTTGAGTAACAGATGCTTGCTGAATGAATGAGCCTCAGTTTCTTCATTGAGGGGGGCCTGGATGGTCCTTGAAATCCTTCACATTGCGAAAGGGATGTTCGGAGGAGAGAGGTTTGTAAGCTGGGCGCTGGGTTCTACAGTTCTTTCCACACTGTTGTGTAACCCCCTGCTTTTCTTGAAGGCTATCGCAACCACTGGCTTTGTTGAGCAGCCTCCCTTTGGGATCATGCCCTCGGTGTTTGAGCTGGCTCCGGGGCAGGCCATATTTGTGGAGGTAGGTAATTAGATGTTTCCTCCTCCTCCTCCTCCTGACGGTCATGGCTCTTTCCTCAGCTGCTTGCATGATTTCCTGCCTGTGTGTTTTCATAACCCAGATATCCACTCCCATCCCGGGTCCCAGCCTTAGTGGTTTCTGTGTAGGAGCATGTTCTTGCACTCGGCGGGGTGATGTCACTTGCCTACCTTATGACCTCTCTCACAGAGCAAGTGCACAGAGCCCCGGCGTTTCCACTGTGATCCCTGCGCGTTGCTTGTCCACACTGTTAGCTCGGGCCTCAGCTGCTTCCAGGATCTTCCCATGGTCCTTCAGTCCCTCCCGGACACCCCTCCCACAGTCGGTACCTGGGTGATGACAGTGGCTCGGTTCTCTTTCCTGTTTCATCTTCAGTTATACAGTAAACAAGACTCGCCTTCCTTAGGCCTTTGAACCTCTGCAGAAGCTCTCAGAGTCTGCCCCCTGGCTGTGGGCTTCTCCTTTCCAAAGCGGCCCCTTTAGGTGTCCCTTCAGCTCATCACACCTGCTCATTGGTCCCCAGAAGAGCCTTTGAGAAAGGGTGATGTCTTCCTGTCCTGTCATGCTCCCCGACTCCCTGGCCCAGGAGTCTGATTCTGAGCTGTTATGTGGCTGGCTGTGGGCTGTCCTCACTCGCCTGTTGAGGGAGACACTGATGTTCAAGAGCACAAGTTGTCTGGTTTCTGGGGGGGGGGGGGCGGGGAGCTTGGCCTGCACCATGTCGTTGGGTAGTGAGAGCCAAGAACCATCGGTTCTCACACTCAGCTGCACTTTGCAATCCCCGGAGAAACTTGCAAACACTCTGATGTCTGGGCCCTGACATTCTGAGTGCATTGGTCTGCGCTGTGGCCTGGGCACAGGACTGGCAAAGCTCTCCAGGGGACTGGTGTGCAGCAGTCTGGGCACCGCTGCCCCGAGCTGCTTTGCCATGGTGTAGAGGGGGGTTTCCTCTGCCGACTGCTTTCCAGTTTCATGTGCCTGATGGCAGCTTGTTCTAGAGCCTGGGGCAATGCTTGCTTGTTCGTGTCTATGCTGATCTGAGTCCCCCATAAAGACCTGGCTCTTGGGGTTGGGACAGGGCTAGTTCAGGGACATAGTAGGGCTTTATGAGTCCTTGTCTACTGCTGGGGTCAGGTTGGAGCCTCTTGGCATAGCCCAGGCCTTGTCAGAGCCTTGCTGTGACTTTAAAGAATTGCGACTGGTCACCTCTGACCAGGCCAGGATGTCCCCCTCATCCCACCTTCCTGTGATCCCCGAGGAAAGGAAGAGGGCAGCAACAGGAGTCTTGGGGAGCAGTGAGGGGGTTGTTTGGGGGAGGCTTGTTCCCTTTGCATTCCTCATGTGTTTTGTTTATTGGGTATTTGGGGGTTTGTTTTAAAATTTATTCATATTTCCAAATAAATAAATTCATGTTTAAAAATTCCAAAGATACAAATAGATAAACAGTGAAATGCTCCCTTTCACCCCAGTTCCCCAGCCATCTGGAGGCCACAACCTTCCCAGGTTTCTCTGGGCCCTTCCAGAGGCATGTGATGCTTAATGAGCAAATGCACATGTTTTTTCTTTTCTTTTCTCTTTTGTTGTTGATCCTCACTGGAGGATATTTTTCCATTGGTTTTTAGATAGAATGGAAGGGAGGGAAGGAGAAAGAGGGAGAGAGAAACATCGCGAGAGGGACACATCGATTGGTTGCCTCCCATACAACACTGACTAGAGCCAGGGATCTAATGTGCAACTCAGGTACATACCCTTGACTGGGAATTGAACCCTTGACCCTTTGGTCCATGGGCCAATGCTCTAACCACTGAGCAAAACCAGCCAGGGCTGCACGTGGTTTTTCTTTCCTTTGTTTCCATTTTTCCTTCAAATAGTTGCCCACTCTATCCTCTGTTCTGCAAATCATTCTTATATTTTTTATAGCTGCATAGTAGTCCACTGTGTGAATGAACCATAATTTAGTTGGGCCATTCCCCACTGATGGACATGAAATTTGTTTTCTGATCTCTGGCTATTTTTGCAAATAACTTACATCAGTCTGTTCAAGTATGAGTCTGCTACAGGGCACAGTCCTCGAAGCAGAGGTGCTGACCCGAGAGGTCTCTGCTTCGTAACTGTGACACATGTTGGCCAAATCCCCACGGTGTGGATCGTACCGGTTATACTTCCAACGACAGGCGAAGGTGCCTGTTTCCTCACAGGCTTGCCGAGGCAGTGTGCTATCAAACTTTATTTTAATTGTTATCCTGGACATTTTTAAACATATACAAAGTAGAAGAGTGTAATGATCACCCATGTGCTCGTTTCCCAGCTTCAACGTTTATGAGCTCTTGGCCAAAGGTGCTGCAACTACATTCCGACCAATCCCCACCCCGCCTTCTAGGTTCCTTTGAAGAAAATCAAGATAATCAAGATATTATATCCTGCATCTGTGATCGCTCACTTAGTGCTCTTTGACACTATAAAGAATGAAAACTTGTTCTGGGTGGTTTTTGTTTACATTTCTTTTGTGGTGAATGAGGTTTAACATGTCATTTGTATGTTTGTCTCTGTGAACACTTTCATATCCTTTCAGCGTGCTCCCTGCCTCACTCTGGGGTGGAGCAGCAGCCGAACCCCCGGCCTTAGGTAGAAGGTGGGGAGCCAGCAGGGTGCGTGTCTGGAAGAGAAGCCTGGAAGGTGGGGGTGGCCCTTAATGGGAGGTGACAGGGCCACCTTCTCTCCCCCAGGTCGTGTTTCTCCCAACGAGCCTCGGAGAGGCAGAGCAGACCTTCATCGTCGCGTGTGACAACTGCCAGATAAAGGAGCTGGTGACCTCGGGTGGGCTTGTGTGTGTGCCCAGGGGAGGGCTGGAGTGGGCCCCAGGCTCTGGAAGCTGCTGACTGGCATTGGCTTCAGGGGACACTTTGAGGGGATGCTGCAGCCTCCATCCACCAGGGTCTAGTTTGGGGCTCACTCTGGTCAGACCCTGGAGACCCAAGTCAGTGTGGCCTTCAGGACAGTCCCAAGGAGCCTTCTAGTGACAGACAGAGGGAAACCTGGGGTGAAGTCTTTCATCGTTCACTTTGGAACTCACCTTGATCTCCTTTTGGGGAATTGCCAGAGACTCCCACATAAACAACCAGATGCACCTCTAGGTTCCTGTGGGGTGAGGGGGTATCCTGCTGAGTTCCGCTGAGATGCCCTCTTCCTTCCTTTCCTCCATCCTCCCTCCTTCCAGCCTTCCTCCCTCCCTCCCTCCCTGCCATCCATCCATCTGTTCTTCCTTTCTCCCTCCCATCTGTCTGTCATCCATCTGTCCATCCCTCTGTCCCTCCCATCCACCCTTCTGTTCTTCCTTTCTCCTATCCATTTGTCCGTCATCGTCTGTCCCTCCCTTCTCCCTCCATCCATCCAGTTTGCCTCAGCAAGCATTAATTGGGTGCCTGCTATACGCTAGGTTATCAGAATCACCTCATGTTGGTCTGTGAGGATGTGGGGACATGAATCTGTGTGTTAATGGCCCCCAGTTCTCCTCTTATATACAACTCCCAGGGTCATGACCAAGTTGCGTGTGGATGGTGGCATGGGTCCTGCCACAGCCTTTGCCCAGAGTCCTGATTTCAGCCCTAGTGAAACTTCACTGCTCTTTTCTCAGGAACTGGGCAGCTGATTGCCTTGGACCTCATCTATATTTCCGGTGAAAGAAGTCAGCCGGAGCCTGGAGAACTCACAGACCTAACAGCCCAGCACTTCATACGCTTTGAGCCTGAGAACCTTCAGTCCACAGCTAGGAGACAGCTGATTATTAGAAATGCTACGTGAGTGACCCCTATGAACATACCCTTCTCCTTCCTCACCTGCCCCCAGTTCCCAGCGAGGCAGCAGCCTCCTTCCAGGGGCCAGGGAGGGGTCGGCACAGAATGGAAGGATCCAGATTTGCTGTCCATCATGCTAGCCACCTGCCACATGTGGCTATTTGGTTCTTGTTTGTTTGTTTGTTTTTGTTAATCCTCACCCGAGGATATATTTTCCATTGATTTTTAGAGAGAGTGAAAAGGAGGGAGGGAGATTGAGAGAGAGAGAGAGAGAGAAGCATCGATATGAGAGACACATCAGTGGGTGGCCTTTTGCAGGCACCCCAATCAGGACGGTGATGGTACACCATTCAGGTACACGCCCTTGACTGGGAATTGAATTTGTGGCCTTTGGGTACTCAGGCCGACACTCTAACCACCGAGCACACCGTCCAGGACCACATGTGGCTATTTCTATGGAAATCAATTAAAATGAAATAACATTAAAAACTCATCTCTTCATTGGCACCAGCCACGTTTTTTTTTTTTTTTTATCCTCACCAGAGGACATTTTTCCATTTTTTGTTCAGGTAGAGTGGAGGGAGAGAGAGGAAGAGAGAGAGAGGGAAACATCGACGTGAAGGGACACATCGAGTGGCTGCCACCCGCACAGCCGACCAGGGCCGGGGACAAACTGCAACCGAGGTACGCGCCCTTAGCAGGAACCGAACCCGGGTCTCTCCGGACCGCAGGCCAACGCTCTAACCGCTGAGCCAAACCGGCCAGGGCACCAGCCACGTTTTAAGTACTCAGCCACCCAGGTAGTTAGTGGCCAGCGCGTTGGACAGTGCAGATACAGAAGGTTTCCGTCACCGCAGGAAGTTACATTGGACAGGGCTGAGCATCCTGGACCATCCTTAGCCAGGAACAGTGTTCCAGAGAGTTCCTGCCCTGCTCACGAGGGGAATCCATCCAAATCCCAAGATCAGACCGACTGGCCTGTGGGTTCAGTTCTCACTGTCACGTACTTCCTGACCATCTTGGAGCAGCCCCACCACACCGGGACAGGCCGCCCAGTGACCCCAGCCAGGCCTCGCCAGGCTTGTCTGTTACCAGCACAGTGAGCCTCACGCAGCTGCCACCACAGCACGCATGGAGTCCTGCCCCTCCCACTACTGTGGAGTTGCCGTGGCTCCTGGTGGCAGCCTGTGGGCACATCTTTCTGGCCAAAGTGGTCCTGGGAGGCCATGGCTGGAGAGGTGGAGGGTGGGGCGAGGGCTGATGTGGCAGCTCTCACATGGTAGGAGACCCTGCAGAACACTTTCCTGAGCTCGGGATGTCCCGAGCCCTGCAGTTGAATGGGTGGAGCATGACTACATGTGAGTGCAATTTCCCGAGTCACGGTGACCCCAACCGCCAGCTGCTGGGGGTGGGAGAGGGGCCTCTCTTAGGTGGTCTTCAAGGTTAGCTTGGACTCCTTGACTGACCCACAGAATGTCCCTGCCTGAGGCTCCTCCATGGGAGGGGCCTGAAGGGCGGGAGCGCCGGTCCGGACAGGCCGGGCCTGACCTGGGACCCGCTGTCAATGCTGCCCTCAGGCACGTGGACCTGGCCTTCCACTGGCAGATCATCATGCCCAACCTGCAGGCCCTGCTGCCTGGAGAGACCTACAGCCCAGACAGCATCAAGTACCACCCTGACAAGGAGACAGCCTTCTCCATCACACCCGAGAGGGGCGTCCTCCAGCCCCACACGGACCATGAGTTCATCCTGAGCTTCTCTCCCCACAAGGTTAGAACGGTGCCGTCTTGGTAGACACATGGGATCGGGTCACAATACTTCCACCCTCCTGGCATGTTCTTTCTTTCTCTTTTTTAAAAATCTTTATTGTTGAATGTAGAATGTATTACAGATGTTCCACATTTTTCCCCATTGACCCCCTCCTCCCCACTCCCACCCCCCTCCCTCCTTTTCCCACACTATTGTCTGTGTCCATTGGTTATGCATATAAGTTCTTTGGTTTATTTCTTCCCACCCCACCCCCCCAACCCCTTTCCCTTTGAGGTTTGTCAGTCTAGCAATGAATTTGTACTTCTTAATCCCTTCACCTTTTTCACCCATTCCCCCAACCCTCCTCCCAACTGGCAACCAACAAAATGTTCTCTGTATCTATGAGAATGTTTCTGTTCTACCTGTTCATTTTGTTTGTAGATTCCTTTGTTGATAGATATGTATTCATTGCCATTTTGTTTGTTCATATATTTAATCTTTTTCTTCAAAAAGACCCTTCATCATTTCATATAATAACGGTTTGGTGGTGATGAACTCCTTTAACTTTTTCTTGTCTGGGAAAGTCTTTATATGGCCATCGATTCTAAATGACAGCTTTGCAGGATAGAGTAATCTTGGTTGTAGGTTCTTGCTTTTCATCACTCTGAATATTTCTTGCCACTCCCTTCTGGCCTGCAAAGTTTCTTTTGAGAAATCAGCTGACAGCCTTATGGGAACTCCCTTGTAGGTAACTAGCTGCCTTTCTCTTGCTGCTTTTAAGATTCTCTCTTTGTCTTGAACCTTTTGCATTTTGATGATGATGTGTCTTGGTGTGGGCCTCTTGGGGTTCATCATGTTTGGGACTCTCTGTGCTTCCTGGACTTGTATGTCTATTTCCTTCACCAAGTTAGGAAAGTTTTCTGCCATTATTGTTTCAAACAGGTTTTCGATTTCTTGTTCTCTCTCTTCTCCTTCTGCCACCCCCAAGATGCGAATGTTGGCACACTTGAAGTTGTCCCAGAGGCTCCTTACACTATCCTCATTTTTTTGGATTCTTTTTCCTTTTTGTTGTTCTGATTGGGCGTTTTTTGCTTCCTTATATTCCAAATCGATGGTTTGCTTCTTGGATTTACGTACTCTACTATTGAAGCTGTGTAAATTATTCTTTATTTCAGTTAATGGCTCCTTCAATTCTGACTGTGCATCCATAATTTCTGACTGGTCCTTTTTTATGCTCTTGAGGCCTTCACTAAGTTCACTGAGGTTCTCACTAAGTTCATTGAGCATCCTTATAAGCAGTATTTTGAACTCAGCATCTGTTAGGTTTCTTATCTCCATTTCGCTTAGTTCTTTTCTTGGGATTTTGTTCTGTTCTTTCATTTGGGACCTGTTTCTTTGTCTCCTCATTTTGGCTGCCTCCCTGTGTTTGTTTCTGTGTATTACTTAACGAGAGGTATGGGGCTAGCTGAGACCAGATGCTGCTCGTTTGAAAGAATTTAGGAAAAACCTGAAGCAGGATCCAAGACAGGCCAATCCTATGGTTAAGCAAGTGGCAACAGCTTGGGTGGGCCTGAAAGTTAGGTGGGCCTAAAAGTTGGGTGGGGTGGGTTAGGGTGGGGCGAGGCAGGGCCTCAGGGAATCACCAGGGCGAGGCTACCAGTGTGAGCCAGGTTGCTGGAGTCCCAGATATGGTGACTGTCTGCCGCCCCAGGGAAGGGCTCACCAAAGGAACAAAGGCCTCTGACAGCACGTTTGTCCCGCAGAAAGCCCCCTCTCCAGCCCTCGCTCCAGTGCCAAACAGCTCAGTTCTTCCCTGTATGTCTCTGGTGCCCCTGGAGCTGCCTCCCCTCCGAGCTTAGAGGGAGAGAGTCCGATAAGTCCATGCGCGGGCCCTTTAAGGAGCTGCCTGGGGCTCCAGCCGCCTCAGCCTCCCTGAGCCTCAGTTCCCGCTGGTTTTTCCAGCCAGAAGTTATGGGGATTCTCTTCCTGGCACTGGAACCCTGAGCAGGCACCTGGTGTGGGACGGGGACCCCTCAGTCCTCAGGAAGGACCTTCCCAGCCAAGGTGTCCTCCTGATTTTTATCCGCCACACGTGGGTGTGGGACCAGCCCGTCCGCCTCCGCCCCTCCTACCAGTCTCTATGCAGCTGCTGCTTTAATTCTTTAGTTGTAGGACTTCCATTCAGCTTGATTTCAGGTGGTTTTGAATGATGGTTGTTCTGTAGTTTAGTTGTAACTTTGATGTGGTTGTGGGAGGACGCGATACCACGTTTACCTACCCGCCGTCTTGACTGGAAGTCCCGGGCATCTTGTTTAGGGATGTTGAGGCCGCAGTGGGGCTGCCTAGGTACCCAGTGTCCTGTAGGCTGGCACTCAGCTCAGAGTGGGGCTGTGGGGTGTGCTGGCGTCAGGAAGGAGACACTCATTTTGCGTGGTCCTGATCCTACACATACTTCGTCTGCAGCCAGACCCTCGCCCCTTCCTCAGCTCTGGTTCTTCTGTGTTTCTGCTACATGGAGGACACTCCCATCCTTGTGCAGCCCCACACCCCAGAGAGACTGAGGTGCAGGTTCTGGGGCAGGGCGAACAGCTCCGGGTGAGAGAGGCAGGAGAGCTGACGTGAAGGCAGGTGCTGGGGCCTCACCGGTGAGAGAGGCAGGTCTGCCTGTCATCCCAGCGTACAGCCGCCTCACTATCCGTCCTGGGAGGGTGTGGTGCCCAGGACACACTGAGCGCAATGTTGGGGTCCGGAAAGCCTTCCTGTCCCCCGGTCGGCCGGGGCAGGCACACCACGCATCCTGGCAGCCACCCCGCTTTCCCTGGGTGACGGGAGACATAGCAGGGCAGCAGCACGTTCCTGAGGCCTCGCTGCAGCCCAGGCGCCAGCCTTCCTCTGGGCAGCCTGGCTGGAATGCAGCTTGTTTGCAGGGCGCTGTTTGTCTTGCAGCTGAAGGATTTTCACAGTGTTCTCCAGATGGTGGTAGAGGCAGTCCCAGAGCTCACGAGGTGAGCGAGGGCTGGGCCCTGGATGAGGGGTGGGGAGCGGGACTGCCTTCCCCACAGGATGCGAGGGAGGCGGTGAGAAGGGCTGAAGGAGCCACCTGACCGCAGGAGGTGTTGACGCATGGGAGCATGCTCGCCTTGCCAGGGCCCCGAGGCCTGGCATGGGCTCAGCGTGCAGGGAACAGAGCCCGCTGGACTCACTGGGAGAGCTGTGCCCCAGGCTCCTTGTTACCAGGCAGGCAGGCGGGTGGCCCCTGGGTGGTGGTGACTAAAGAGGAAAGGTTTGCCCCATGGGGGGCATTGCTACCAGCTCTCCCGTAACTGTCAGGGGGTCTGCAGTCAGCCTCCCGTAGCGATCCCAGGCTGGGTGCTACACTGGTCCGGCAGGCAGCAGGGAGGGTGCCTGTCACAGCCACAGGCATTTCTCACTATTTCAGGGCATTGACTGGTGCGTCTGATTTTAGGGGGCTTGGGAGCTGTGAGCAGGGGTCATTTTCTTTTCACAAGACCAGAGATATGGGACAGCAGTGAGGACCGTGCGGGGCCATGCTCTGGGCTGTCGGCTCCGAGCTCACCGCGAGTCTGTGTTCAGTTCAGAACCAGAAAACCCCTCGTACACGGTGGATGACGTGATCGTCCTGGAAATCGAGGTGAAAGGCTCCGCAGAACCTTTCCAGGTCCTCTTGGAACCCTATGCCCTCATCATCCCCGGGGAGAACTACATTGGCACAAGTGTGAAGAAAGACTTTAAGGTGGGTCGCTGTAAGGCTGGCCGAGATGGTGCCGGACTGGGCACAGGTGTGAGGACAGAGTGGCCCGAGAGGCGGATGGCGGTGGCCTCACGGAGGACTTGGTTTGCACAGATGCTGGGCTGGGTGTCTGTCATTTTATCAGCATCCTCCGAACCACAGGCTGTGGAACCCGTTCCTGTGTTTGTGGGTCTTTGGCAGGATCTGGCACCCATAAACCCTGCAGTGGTGTTGGGGCTGTCGGGTGGCCAGGAATTAGCGGGGAGGGTGTGGAGAGGACCTTCTGTGAGCCCACAATCCCACAGTCCTTCGGCAGGTTCAGACTGGACAGCTGGGGTGTGTCTTTCAGATGTGGAACAACAGTAAGTCCCGCATCAGATACACGTGGGGGAAGATCAGCGACTACCACATCGTCGAAGTGGAACCCTGCACAGGGACCATAGGTACGGGGGAGGGGGGATGACCTGCCGGGGTGCCGGGGACAGGAGGTCCGCAGAGTGGTCAGCTGCAGCCTGGTACACGTGGGCGAGAAGCCAGCGAAGATCACACATCCAGGCCCAGCCACAGAGGGGACCCGCCCCTGCTCCCTTTCTCCACCTCGTTCCTCCTCTCCCAGAGTCCAGCGAGGTCGAGGATTTTGAGTTGAAGTTTACCGCGGGTGTTCCCGGCCCAACAAGTCAAGACCTGCTGTGTGAAATCAGAGACTCACCCTCTCCGGTGGTGCTGCACATTGAGGCAACATTTAAGGTGCTGCTGGGGGCCTGGGCAGCTGGGTGGGCCTGGCACGGGGCAGGGGTAGGGCACAGAGCCCACTCCCAAGTGGCCCGCTGATGGGCTCTCTGGGTGTCTCAGGGGCCTGCCCTCGTCATCAACGTCTCAGCCCTTCAGTTCGGTTTGCTGCGTCTGGGGCAGAAAGCCACAGACTCCATCCGGATCCAGAACACCAGCCCGCTCCCGGCCACGTGGCACATGCAGGAGAGCTCGGTCTGCCTGGAGGAGCGGCAGGAGGGTGTAAGTCAGGCCTCTGGCTCCTCTGGGCACCACCTCCCCAGGAGCCAATCTACCTGTGAATCTTGTACTGGGCCAGTCAGAGGGTTGAGGCTGGGAGCAGAGAAGCCTGTCTGGTGACTTCTGCCTGGCAGGGTCCCCAGTTCTCCCCATCTCCGAGGGAGTCGGGTCCTGTCTACAGCCGAACTTAACCCCGAACTGGATTTTCCTGTTACTTTCTCTACCGCATGATGCAGAATTAGGACGTAGGTTTCTCCCTCTGTCAGGGCAGCCTGAGTCAGGAGGAGGCTGCTGAGCTGGGCAGGAAGCTTCCAAGGCCTCCAGGGAGGGATGGGCTGGGTGGGCTCACCCCAAGATTCCCCACTTCCCAGAGATTGTGCCTGCAGATTGAGAACCTGCCACCAGGTGGTGCTTGGGCCTGGGCTCCTCACCCAAACCAAAAGTCCCCCAAAAGAAAACCCAGGATTCATTTCCACCCAAATAGCACTTTTCTTTTTACTATACAATAAGGAAATACTAGCGTGGCTAAGTGTTGTCTTCACATTACCCCGTGGCATCCCATGAGTATCTGATGTGCAGTCCAGAAGAAGACAAGTCGCAGTACATCAGTCACTCCCCAGCAGCCGTGAGCTGTAAATCCCGCCTGGCTGCCCCACTTTCACGCTTGGCGGCCTGAGATCCCCGGGCTGCCTGGGTTGTTGCCACACCTGTGCGCCTCTGGCCAGGTCTGTTTGGTGGAAGCACCTCCCTCTGACTGCTTCCTCCCGAGGCCCCCATCTTGCTTGTCCCTTTGCCCTCCGGGGCAGAACGCTGCACACTGTCCCCTCCACATTCAGAAGCCGAGGAAGGACAGTCGCAGCCACGCACGCATCGTAGCTGCTAACGTATGTTCCCTCTCTCCAGGCCTTTTCCTTCCCACTCAGAAGCCCTTCTCCTTCACCTGAGGGCCGAGGCCCTAGACGGGCACTCTGAACCTTAGAAGCTATGACATTTGCATCGAATCACAACAACATGGCCAAGTGTCCTATTACACAGGCTTGGAGTTAGCACCTCCCCTCCTGGGGCTCACTGGTCTCCCTGCTTGGACTGTGAAACCACAGAAGCCTGGGACTGGGACTGGGGACAGGGCGGTGTCAGTGTCGCAAGACAAGAACCCTTTCTTCTAATGAAACCCTACAGAGAAGCCCAAGGTCTAGAATAAAGTATGACTTCCCTAGTCACCAAGAGACCCCCTTGTGAGTCACCCTCTGCCCCATCCTGCCCTCCCCACTTCTGAGGAACCCCTGGGATTTCCCAGAGCACAGCTGGGATTTCGGGACCACATTCAACCCCTTCATCTGATGGAGGAGAGGCAGCGAGGGAAGGTCACACCGCTGATGAGTGATGGAATCATGAGCTCCCTGTTCTCTAATTCCCAGTCTGTGTTTTGCTCCCATTGAGAAGAATGACTACATGTTATCATTGAAATAATGGTCAATTTACAGTGTATTAAGATTTATGTTACAGTCGAGGCTGGTAGGAATCCTGCCTCTATGGTCTCTGCACTTAGCTCTTTTGCGCTGAGATTCGGGATTGGTTACCTGTGCTCAGGTCAGGGGACCCGGAAAGCCAGCCCCAGGGTACAGCCACACCCCTAGGGCTCCAAGGGAGATGCACGTGAGTAACAAGGACCGAAGAAAGCAGGGGGCTCTGTCCTGACCAGCAGAGCTTGGCCCCGGAACCCCAGCCAGAGCACACAGCCACTTTTTCTGAGTTAGGCCTAAGCGGCCCAGAGTGATGCAGCCCGCCCCTGCCGCTGGGGCCAGGGAATGAAACTCAGAAGCAAGAGAGCACAGGGTCCAAGACGGCACCCGTGGCAGCCCGGGCGGGAGGTAGGGGTGGGATTGGGCAGGCTGGGCCCACGGCGGTGGGCAGGCTGCCCCAGGCAGGTGTCTTGTACTCACTGGCTTGGTCTCTGGAAGGAAGAGACCAAAGAGGAGTCACCTCCCTCCTGGGTGTGAACTTTCAGTGTCCAGTGACACCCTATTAGCCAGTGTGGCCCACTGGTTCAGACAAGTGCATTCTGTCTCAGTCAAGGACAGGGAGAAGGGGTAGGGAGTCCTACCCAGGTACACTCTGCCTAGCCCTTTTCCCTTCCCCTCTCCCTTTGTCCGTGTAGGGGAGGAGGGGGACCTGCCTGGTGAATGAGTACAAGACTGGGGGTGGGGCGCAGAAATCTGTGGCCACACGGAACTTCACCCCTCTCCCAGTTTGGTGACTTGGTGGCTTTCCTTACTTAAAGCCGTCAGGGTCTTGACGGGGGGCAGATCTCTCAGAGGGCACCGCAGCTCCCCACAGCATGGTCCCCACACCCCGATCGTGGCCAGTGCATGGGGACCTCCCCCTTTCCTTGGAGCCTTGGTTTGTCCTCTGAGTCCTGAGACTCGCCCAGCTGTGCTCCCCCACCTGCTTGCCTCCTTCTACACCCTACATGGTGCTCTGAAGGGCTGGGGGCAGCTTGGGGGCGACCCTGGTTGGACATGGCCAGCCCCGAGTTCTGTAATTCCAACTGTCCTCATTCCTTATCCTTCTGATTGGCCTCCCAACCAGGTGTCTCCTTTCACCATTGAGCCCTCCAGCGGCCAGATTCACCCTCTGGGGGAGCTCAGCGTGAGCATCACCTTGGAGGCCCTGCGGGGCCAGTGTCTGCAGACTGTCCTGGTGCTGGAGGTGGTGAATGGGCCCTGGAGGTAAGGGGGGGGGAGCCCTGACAACACCCTGTCTGCTGATTCCCAGTGTAGTCACATATATTACGTGTAACTCAGTATGTATCTGTAGACATTTCAGAATACATGTTTAGTCTATAAAATTTGGATATTACAGAAGATACCCATTAAGGTAAAGAATGTGCATACCCCGTGGCCCAGCTTTAGCCCTTCTAGCTGAACCCCCAGGGGAACTGAGCAGGTGCAGTGGCAGCCGTGGGCTCCTAAGGGAATTCTCACAGCCGGACTGTGCACAATAGCAAAACCCTGGAAACAGTTTCATTCAACAGAACAGGCACAAATAGTTGTGGCTCTTTAAATGAGTGACTAACAGCCCTGTCCAGTTTGGCTCAGAGGTTAGTGTGTCGGCCTGCAGTCCAGAGAGACCCGGGTTCCGTTCCCGCTAAGGGCACGTACCTTGGTTGTAGTTTGTCCCCCGCCCTGGTTGGTTGTGCAGATGTCAGCCACTCGATGTGTCCCTTTCACGTTGATGTTTCTCTCTCTCTCTCTCTCTCTCTCTCTCCCTCCCTCCCTCCCTCCCTCCTACTCTATCTGAACAAAAAATGGAAAAATGTCCTCGGGTGAGGATTAAAAAAAAAGAGTGACTAACATTGTGATCTGGGAGGAACACACTGGAGGTTTCAAAGGTCGTTAGTGATGTTCTCTCCCTCCCTTCCAGAAAATTTCTGAAATCTATAAAAACGGAATCGTATGATGAGCATCCATGTCCCCATCACCTACATTTAAAATGATCAAATCACTGCAAATAGTGTGTCATCCACATCCTTGTCCACTTCTCCCCACCCTTCCCAAATTATTTCGAAGCATAATACTTGTTTTCTTAAGCTGGCTGGTGTAAATATTCTGTGATAAACTGAATAGTAGTGGTATGCAGGTGTTCTTTTCATTATTCTTTAAACTGAGTGATTTACTCTGTGTACATGGATATAACCAAGATAAGCAAAAAAAGGGAAGCCATTGGCCCATGTAACGGGGCAGCCAGGGCTGAAGGCAGGGGCTCCAGCCTTTCCCTCTGTCTGGTCTTCTGCTTCTGTCTCATCCCACCAGCCTTCCCGCTACCCCACCCCAGTCCCACCTCAGCCTTCAACTTCGCTTCTCTCTTTGTTGGCCTTTCTCTCCCCTGTTGGAAAGGGGCCCTTAGCCACTCTGCTCTGAGGAAAGGGGCCACTTAGAACTTCAGGCTCACACACTCCCAGCTTAACAACGCTGGTGAAAAATGACTCTGATTGGTTCTCTTTGGGTCACATGCCCACCTGTGACTGGGGGAGGGTCTGTCTCCAGAAGAAGCAGGTGGGAAAGCTTGCTGGATCCGTACTGCATGAATCTGACCATTTTCCTCACCCTTTCCATCTCTCAGTGCTTTTGCTTCTTCTTCAGGGAGATGGCCTTGGCCTTGGGCTTGCATTTCACTAATTCAGTCTTTGGTAGGTGCCCTTCTTTTGACAACCATGTTTTCAAATTTCAAGCATTTTTGTTCTTGGATCATTCATTTTTTAAAAAAATATGTTTTTAGAGGGAAAGGAAGGAGGAGAGAGAGAGAGAGAGACATTGATGTGAGAGAGATACATAGATCGGCTGCCTCCTGCACGCCCCCTACTGAGGATGGAGCCCGCAACCCGGGCGTGTGCCCTGACCAGGAATCAAACCCCGACCTGTCAGTCCACGGGACTACGCTCAGTCCACTGAGCCACACCGGCGGGCGGATCGTTCTGTTTTTGACAGTAATCTGTTATTATCTTATTGATGCAACAACCTTGCAGATGTCCCCAAGGAAACTGCGTTTTGTTTCCTCAGATTATGGTTTGGAGTCCTTCTCCTGCAGTTTGGTTTTAGTTCACGTCCAGCAGTCCTGGGCTGCCCACTACTGGTTCTGAACGGAAGAGGAGCTGGTGGTGCACATTTCCTCTGAGCGAGGGGGGAGGTGCAGAGAGCACGCCTCCCAAGGAGAGTGTGTGAGAGCCCCCAGAGAGCTCAGCTCCCCGAATTCCATAAGAGGAAGGGCCTTTGGGGGAAACCGCCCACAAGCAGCAGAAGAAACCCACACTGGCAGCGACACTCGTCCCATTCATTCATTCGTAAGTAGGATGAGGACGAGGACCTACCTGTGTGGCTGCTTTCCCTCCATGAGAGCGGAGAGGCCCAGTGACCTTCCCTGCCTCTCTCCAGCCCCACACCTTCTTCTGGGCGTTATCACTCCTGCTGCAGCCCAGTCTTCTGTGTGTCATGTGAACTCAGGGGTCGGCCCTGAACTGGCCTCACCGATCTCCCACAGTCCTGGAGTAAATCCCCCTGCCGTTCCCCACAGTCCTGCCCGCGATGCCTCGTTCCCTTTTAAGGAATCTGCTGGGGGCCTCCTCCAGCGGTCTTAAGGAGTGGGTCTGTTCTCTGTTTTATTAGTTCATCTGATCACGTCCTTCTTTTATTTTTTCTCATTGGAATAGCATTACATTTGTTTGTTTATTTAAAAAACTTTTTTTACATGGAGTGTGTGATATATCGTTTATATCTACAAAATCCTTGCTGGGAGTTTGACAAGAACTGTGTTAAGCCTATAGATCAGTTAGGGGAGAACAGACACCTTTACTATGCTGACTCGTCTCGTCCATGAATGGCTCCTGCATTTACTAAGTCTTCTCTGATTTCCTTTCGTGGGTGTTCTGTCGTTTTCAGCACGCGACTCCTGTGCGTGTTTTATGAGATTTATACCTATGTTTTTCCATTTGGAGAGAAATTTTTTTTTTTTTTTAAATCCTCACCCGAGGACATTTTTCCTTTTTTTTTTTTTTTTGGAGAGAAATTTTAAATGGTAATGTATTTTTTATTTCTGTTTCCACACATTCATTGTTCACATATGAAAGTGTGATGGATTTGTGTATGTTGATTGTTGTACCCTATAACTTTGCTGCCTCATTGGTTCTAGGAGTTTCTTGATAAATAGATTTCTTGGGGTTTTCTACATAGGCCATCATGTCATCAGCAAATAGGGCTAGTCTTATTTCTGTTTTCCTGATCAGAATGCCTTGTATTACCTTGTGTTCCAGCTACCTCCCTGTGTATGCCGAGGTACAGGAGCCCTACGTGTACCTTCGGAGCAGCCAGGTCGTGGTCAGCAACCTCTACCTGGGCGTGCCCGCGGAGGCGACCGTCACACTCATCAATGGCACGCTCCTGCCCACCCGGTTCCACTGGGGCAAGGTGCGTGAGCCCGTACTGTCGGCACCAGAGGCCCAAGTCGAGGAACATTGCCCCTGGGGTACCCCCAGAACAGATGCGCAGCCTCCCTCCGCAGCCTGTCCTTCGCCCCACCGTGCCCAGAAAAGCTGGGCCCTCAGAGGAGCAGCACATCTGGTCTGGCTTTTCCTTGGCCTGCCTTCAGGGGGTTCCAGTTCCCTGCCTGAGAAGGAGTCTCTGGTGCACACAGCTAGACCACCCGCCCGTGACCAGTCCACGCAGCTGTTGGGAGCCCAGATGAGGCAGTGTCCGTGGGGCTGGCCGGAGCCTGCTCTGTGTCCCGTGGGAGACAGGGCCACATTCCCGTGATGAGGCACTCCAGTCACCCTGGTCCTCCCAGGCAACCACTGACAGATGCGAGGCCCACCTGGGTGGGGAAGGAGAAGAGGCAGGCCCTGTGGCTTATCCCCACCAGTAAACAGCCCGCCAGCCTCCAGCAGGGCACGCAGCAGAGCTGAGCACTCTGCCAGGACCCTGGCCCGTCCTGGGAGTCCAGCACGTAACAACAGGCCCGTGCTTGTTCTGCCAGCTCCTGGGGCACCAAGCAAGCTTCTGCAGAGCCAGAGTCTCCCCCCGGCGTGGCACGCTGGGCCCCAGTGAGGAGTTCCAGCTCAGTCTGGAGTTGACCACCCATACCCAGGTGAGTAAGGATGGGAGGGGACTGAGGAACCAGGAAGGCACCCGCAACTGTCTGCGCCTGTGCCGGCAGGGAGGTCAGCCTCAGACCCCACTCCTGCTCTTTTGAGTGGGAAGAGACTTCTTGTATTTGGGCCTGGGGTCCGCATTCCTGTTAGGCCTGTTCTTTAGGGACACGAGGTCAGAGAGCCTGCAGCAGGCCTGAAGTGGATGTGCCCTGGAACCCATGCCTGGTATCTACCTTTGGCACCGACTTGGGCCCTCCCCAGGCCATTCTTTCCAGTTTCCCCAGAGATCCGGAGTGGAGCTGCTGCTCACACAGGCCTGTGCCGGGTGCTCCGGGGAGGCTGGCTGGCAGCCAGGTTCCTCCTAAGAGGGACCCAGCTTCTCCACGGGGTGGCCCATGGGAAAGCCATCAGGGTGGCCTGTATGAAGAAATGTCTTCCTTCAGAGACTTGCAGACCCCAGTCCCAGTCCCTCCCTGGCAGACACGGGGACATGGGCTTGCACAGCAGAGCCCGAGCTCTAGGGCCTGGCCTGGAGCAGACAGCACTCAGGGAGGCTTTGACTCCTACGGTAGCAGCTTCATCCGAATGAATGTGTGGCTTCTGTAAAGGTCCAACTTCCAGGGTCTGCTTTCATGTGGGCGTGTCCAGATGCTGGAGCAGCCGCTGGAGCCCTGAGGAGGGGCCTCCAGGCTCGCGGAGGGGCTGGGGCCTCCCACAGAGATGGGCCTGGACAGACCTGAGGCCCAGCCCTGGGACTGACAGCTGCCCTGCCCTGCTGGGCTTTCCCACAGGAAGAGCTGACCGACCTGGCCCTCCCTTGCACCGTGTCAGGCATGAAGGAACCACTGATTCTGGGCATCTCTGGGAAACCCCAGGGACTGCAAGTGGGCATCACCGTCTCTACAGAGGGCTCTGATGGAAGGTGAGCCCAGGGCTGGGGCCAGGGCCTGAGTGCTGGGGCGACCATGCGAAGGGCCAGCATTGCCCCGCGGTACCAGCCTCCTGCCAGCTGACTTCTACAGCCAGGAAGGGGCCCCTTTCTACCCTGTGGGGACAGGTCCCTCCGCCCCATCCTGCCCTCTCTGCCCTCTTCCCCCCACACAGTTGGAGGCACGGTGTGCAGGCAGGCAGGAGACGGCGGGACGGACTGTGGGTCTGGGGCTCTCCCGCCTGAGGCCCAAAACCTGGGAGATGAGCCAGTCTGCCCCGGGCCAGGGACAATTGGTGAAGTGTGAGGCTCCTTGGCATCCGAGGCTGGCAAGAAGGGTACATCTGTGGGGCGAAGCCTGGTTTCTAGACAGCTCTCACACCCCCAGGCACTGGGCGGGGCCAAGGCTGGCATGTAACCCGGTGCCTGTGGGCATGGGCAGTGTTCCCGGCACAGAGCAGTGGCCGGGCCACGAGGAGGAGCTCCGCCTAGACTTCGGCTCAGCAGTGCCACTGAGGACCCGCGTGAATCGCCAGCTCACCCTGACCAACTACTCCCCGATACAGACCTCTTTTGCCCTCAAGTTCGAGTACTTCGGGAGCCCTCCAGACAGCCTGAACCCCAAAACCAGCATGTGAGTCTGGCTTCTCTCAGAGGCGGTCCCCGGGAACATGCGGCCCGGCGGGCTTTGCCGATGGGTGTCCACGGCGTAGGTGGCCAGAGGCTGGTGGGTGTGCGGCGTGGGAGGACGTGTTTCCACAGGTAGCCACGGGGAAACACAGAGAGGAAACGGTTCCTGCTGCCCTAGGGGGCCTGTGGGAGAGGCTGGGATTGCGGCCCCTTCTTCTCAGCCTGGCCTGCTGAGGTGGGGGCTTCTCCTTCGGGCCTGGAGGCGGAGGGAACTGTGCGGGCAGAGATGTGGGAGGGAGGCCTTCTGCACGGCTGTAGCTTGAAGCCAGCCGGGGAAAGTGCTCACGCCGCAGTGATGGGCAGGTCACCAGCACGCCACTGCCAACACCTCACTGCCGAATCATCTGAGTCAGGGAGCCCAACTTCATCTTTTTTGTTTTTTTATCCTCACCCAAAAACATTTTTGCATTTATCTTCAGATAGAGTGGGAGGAGAGAGGGAGGAAGAGAGAGAGAGAAACATCCATGTGAGAGAGACACATCAACTGGTCGCCACCCACACGACCCCAACCGGGGCCGGGGACAAATTGCAACTCAGGTGCATGCCCTTAGTGGGAACCGAACTCGGTCTCTCTGGTCCACGGGCCAACACTCTATCCGCTGAGCCAAACTGGCCAGGGCAAGGGGAGCCCAACTTTAAAACTACTGCCAGAGGTAGTGGGGAACCACTAGCAGTTTCTAAGACATTGACTCCTACTCCAGAAACTTGGTGTGCACTGGATGCTGGATAGACTGGAAATGGGGGCCTGTTGCAGAAAGCTGGGCAAGAGCAGGAAGTCTGGGCTGGGTTCGCATCCAGGGTTCACCAAGGCACAGAAACTGGGGCTACGGGTCCCTCCTCCAGAGTCCTATTGAGTTTCTTGGGAGGCAACCCCTGGGGCTGGTGGGTGGCTTCGTGGGATAGGGGTATAGCAGGAGCAAAGACCAGAAGGAGGTGAGGAGACCTACCCAGCTCTCCCCTGGGAGGAGTGGGCACCTGGCAGGATGCTGGTGCCAGGGACGGTGGCTCACGTCTGAGAAGAGATTGGGATGGTGTGATGCTATTTCTGTGTCCCATCTGGTAAAGGCCTGACGTGTCTCCCGCCCTGCTGAAGACGGCTCGGAATCTCCAGCAGTTGGCCAAGCGAGAGCAGCAGGGTAAGAGCCGCAGGGCAGGCGCTGAGCCCAGGCCTGGCCAGGGTGGAATTTTCCATGGCTTCTTGAGGGTGTGGACCCCCACCATCTCATTGTCTTTTCTAGCAAGGTCCCTGAGATGGTCGTGGCTCCCACTGACAACACCCCCTGAATCAGGCCATCTCTTTGTAAGGGCATAAGGCTCATGCATAGGACCTCGATTTGATTTGGGGTGGTAGTGGCTCAGAAGGGAGGCTCCCACTGGGGCAGGCCCCTGGACTCTGGGATCCCAGCAGGAGGATGTGTTGGACTGGGCCAAGGAGCGGCTGCAGGGTGACTTGCCTGGTATGGTGTTTTGCTAACATCGGAGAGGTTGGACCTCATTCCTCCTTGTCCTGGAGTCCTGAACCCTCTTTTCTGGTTCTCCCTAGACTTTATGGAAAGCATGTTGTCTCACGGGAAAGGAGCTGCCTTCTTCCCCCATGTCTCCCAGGGCATGCTGGGGGCCCGTCAGCAGCTCCACATCGACATCACAGGCTGCGCGAACATGTGGGGCGAGTACTGGGACAACCTCGTCTGCACGGTAAGGGCTTGCGGGCGGGTCATGGCCTGCAGGCGGGACGGGGAACCTGACCTGGCCCTCGCCTGCAGGCTCTCTCTTCTCCGACACCTGGCCCTTAGACATAAATCTCACCAAGAAAACAGACTCGAGTGGGGGATGGGCTCTTGTACCTGCAGCAAACACTGGGATGTAGGCAGGAGGCATCCTGTGAGCCGTGGAGCCTCCCACTCCTTTCCCCAGGAGGTCCCACGAGGCTGGGATCACACTGAGGAGGGCAGAGGAATCAGACAGGCTGCCCACCCGGGCCAGGACCTGAGACCTGGAGAGAGGAGTAAGTGTGGAGGGACAGCAACTCCCCCCAAGAGCCAAATTCTCGCCTAGCCCCCGTGCATTCCTTCCTTCTCCCATCAGTTCATTCACTGACTCACCCATTCAGCATGAAATTGAACACCTGCTGTGTATAGGTTCCCCTGTGGCCCACTGGCTGTGGAGGGTACCAGGATGAATAAGGTAGAGGCACCACGGACAGGGGGCTCCCTGGTTTCATACGCAGGGACGAAACGTGCACACTGTCCTACACTTTTCAGTTACAGCTTAGAAGATTTTCATGAACTATTCAGCATATTGGACAGGTTAATTCTAGTGGACATTTGCTTTATATTGTTTGTATTATGTATGACAAAAGGATTGATCACCTTAATATACAAAGAGTTCTTAACTAACAATGAGGGGGACAAAGCAGCCCAGGTGGGCGAAGGGGTTTTGAATGGGCAGTTTCCTATGAAAATATGTCACCGTCACGGGCAATTAAAGTCACTCTGAAATCCTGGCTTTGGTAAGCGGCAGGAGGTTTCCAAGCTGGCGGTGGAGGCGCAGGGGAAGGGTGCTCTCGCTGTGGTGTGGGGTGGGAAATGGTGTCCTCCTTTGCGGGCACTTTGCCACGTCCTGCGTACACACATTTAAAGTTTCCCCAAGGAAAGAAGTGGCTGGGTGGAGAAATAACTTCGTACCGGGTTTCCTTTTCTTCTCAGCAGTGTTTATAATGGGAGGAGGGGAAGGAAACCTAAGCAGCCACGTCTGTTGGTAGATTTGAGTAAAATACGAGCTGCGTGCATTTGATGGCATTCCACGCCGCCTATTCAGTATGCCGAAAACCTTCGTTAGTAAAGCCGCATGTTGTGAAGAGAAAGGAGACCAAACAGGCCGTGCCCGGTGTGCTCCTTGTTGATAGCTTCGTTCTGTGTACACAGGACAAGTCTAGTCACTTGTCCACAAAAATGTTGACAGTGAGTCTTGCTGGGAGTGTAGGATTGTGGGTGATTATCACATTCTGTGTTTTAAATTAAATAAAAATATTTTAAGCTCGGCTGGCGTGACTCAGTGGTTGAGCATCGACCCACGCACCAAGAGGTTGCCGGTTCGATTCCCAGTCAGGGCACATGCCCAGGATGTGGGCCCGATCCCCAGTGGGGTGCAGGCAGGAGACAGCCAATCAGTGTTCTCTCTCATCAACGTTTCTCTCTCTCTCTCCCTCTCCCTTTGTTTCTCTAAAAAAAATCTAAAACTTTTGTTAGCAGGGAGAAATAATAAAGTTCTTTCCATTTAAAAGATACAGAGATTTGGTGAAAGGGGCCATAAGAGGTGAAGCTGGTCAGGAAGGCTGGGAGATCTGTGGGGTCTGGGGCGTGGGACAGCAGAGACAGAGTGGGGGGCAGGGAAGCCGGGCTGGGAGGCCAGGCAGCCCAGGCCTTCGGCTTGTCTGGGGTGAGCATCCAACCGTGAAAAGTGAGTTGGGGCCCAGCTGGGAGCCAGCTGTGGAGACCCTGGGCTGGCTGGAGAAGGAAAGGCCTTGCTCTGCAGGGAATGGGGAGCCAGGGAAGGTGGTGGCAGCTGGTGACAAGTGACAGAGGAGGGGTGTGTGCTTTCAGGTGGGAGACCTGCCGCCCTCGGTCATCCGGGTGCACATGGCAGTGGTGGGCTGCCCCATCAGCTCTCTGAGGACCAACTACACCACTGACTGGTTCCAGAAGGAGCCTATTGTCAGGTGCCCTACTCCCCGCCTCCTTCTCCGCCCCGTGAAACCTTCTAGCCTCCAGCCTGGGCTGCTCTCTTCTTGCTCTTCAACGAGCCTGGGGCCACTTGGTCCCACCCAGGAAGAAAGCCCCAGGACAGGGTTGCCCTGGAGGGGAGAGGCCTCGGGGGACATGGCTGTTATCTGCACATCTCAGACAGCTTTTGGGGACAGACCCTCATACCTACTAAAGTGGGATCTGTTGTAGGGAGGCGGAGGGGAGTTACTGGGGCAGTGGGAGCCCTGGGTCACAGTTCAGGCCTTGCAGGGGGAAGGCCCCCAGCCCCAGTCTTGGTGAGTTCAGGATGAAGACAGGCCACTGTGGGCCCCTCCCTGCCTGAGCCCTAACTGCAGCCCTGCTGTGTGCTGGCTGTGCTGAGCCTGGTCTCCTGCCTCTAGGTTTAGCACCCAGGTCTCTGGAGGAGATACAGTCACCCGCCTCCTTCGCCTGAATAACTCCAGCCCCTGTGGTGAGACGCTCACGAGATAGATTGGGGTTCCTGCTACAGGTGGTGCTGTATGGTGGGCGAGGCTGGGAAGGGAGATGGGGCTGGGAGAAGCTGATGGCCCATGACCAGGACCCAGGAATCCAGGTTACTGTGGTTACTGAGGGAGTTCCCCAAGGGCCAAGGTGGGGAATGGCCACCCCATTCAGGGGGTGTCGTAGAGAACCACTTATATCCTTGAGGACAGGACTTGGCCTTGTCCAACCCCAGGTCTCCCAGTGTCCATGGGACCACAGCTGCCCTGCTCTTGTCCTTGCACAAGGTCAGACACTGGCAGGGGACACCTTGGCTCATCCTGTAGCCCGTGGTACCTGAGCTACCTGCCAGGTTCTGTGCAAGGAGATGGGGATACAGAGGGACTAGGACAGCTAGGCTTCTGCTGAGTGGCATCTGTCCTTTTTTTTTTTAATCCTCACCCGAGGACATTTTTCCTTTTTTTGTTCAGATAGAGTGGGAAGGAGAGAGAGAGAGAGAGAGACATCGATGTGAAGGGACACATCGAGTGGCTGCCACCCGCATGACCCAACCCGGGCTGGGGACAAACTGCAACTGAGGTACGCGCCCTTAGAGGGAACCGAACCTGGGTCTCTCCGGACCACAGGCCGACGCTCCAACCGCTGAGCCAAACCGGCCAGGGCTGGCATCTGTTCTTGATGGGCAGGACAGATGTGACGGTGGGCTGCCAGCACATTGAGTGCATTGAGTGTGACTGCAGGGGAAGGCCGGCACGCTGGGGACTGTCCAGGCTCCCCTGTGGACAGCCATTCAGGCCATCCCGGAGGAAGGGCGAGCCACCTGGGCCTGGGGAGTGGGGGAGGGGCGTGCGGGGATGCAGAGCATCAGGGCCGCAGGAAGAGCTACACCCAGTGCAGAGCCAGGCAGCTTCCCGACCACGATTTCAGGCATCTCATTGCTGGGCTACCTCAGATGGCAGGTGGACTGGAGTGGAGTCTCTGGGGGAGGGGCACGGCACCATGGGTGGTTCTCCAGCTCCTCCGGTGATTGTCAGGTGCTTGCGCTGGGAGAGAACAGCCTCTCCGCGCCCCTTGCTTTCTGTCTTCTGATCTGCACAGTTGGAAAGGGTACACGTATTGAAGTAAACTGCTCTGACCACATCTTGATCAAGGTCTCCTGGCACTTCCAGTAGTTGTATTTGTAATGTTTTTAGCTGCTCTATCGTTAGATGCATTTGAGAACCAAATCTTCACAAACGATGCCTTTATCACCCCCCTTAAGGTTCCTCGTCACCCCTTTCAGTGCTTAAACCCCATCTTGCCCTGCGGTAACCGCTACGCCTGGTCGCCTTGGGCATCGGCCAGGTATCTCTCTGCCCGTCCCTCTGTCCTCACCCTTGTGACTGTGATGTGTGTTTCTTTGTAAACAACAGAGGGCTGAGATTTCTCAAAACCAATCTGACATTCTATATCTTTTATTTTTTTAGTTTTTCTCTATCTTTTAAGAGGAAAAGTCATTCAGTCTACATATCCCTTCCTATTTTATGACTTATTTTACTTTATTTTTCTACTTTCTTCATTTTGCTTCTTGTGACTTTATTCTGTTTTCTCTTGGTTTCCTTGGGAATTTCTCTTCTACGTTCCTTTCCTTCAGTGGTCCCTTCCCTTCCTTGGGGTGTCACAGGTGCACAGTTCTCTGTCTTTACTTGAAAGTGAGATTGCCCCTGAACTTCGGGGTGTGGAGGTCACTGTTGGCCTTGCTGAGTGAGCTGGTGGGTGTAAGAGGCAAGAGCCAGGTCATAACCCTAAGTCTCACAAGATCGGGGCCTCAGGCCTGTGATCACCAGGTATTCCCAGGGCCCAACCAGTGAGCAGATGTTACCTGGGGCGTGGGTGAGAACTGAGGAGGGGGAGCGATGCTGGGCAAGGCGTCCTGTGAGCTGGCGGTGAAGGGGAGAGCTGGCAGTGCTGGAAAGGTCACCTGGCAGAGGGATGCTTGTTCAAGGTGAGGGGACCTGCGCTGTGAGGGAGCAGTTAGGAGACGGGGAGGCTGGCCATGGCTGGCTGTACAGGGGGCGGGACAGGATTGACGGCCAGAGGGGAAGGGGGATGGGATCAGTACAGACCCATGTGGGGGCCTGGGACAGGACTTCGGGGGCTTCCTGATTTGGGGGCTTCTGGGAGGTGAGGTGGGGCCACCCGCTAAGTGTCAGGGGAGCAGTGCGGATGTAAGAGGAGGGCAGGGAAGATGTGGCGGTCATGGTGCAGGTTGGCAGGGAAAACTGGGGGGGCCACAGAGTGCTGGGCAGAGTAGGGACACAGTTTAGATTAGGGACAGATTTATGGGGGTGGCAAGTTGTTTGAACTATGGGAGACTTTCTCCAATGGGGCCCAGAGGGTCAGTTCAGTTCATCCAGGACTAGGTTTTGTCAGGCAGGTAGAAGGATGGGTGCAAAGGAGGTTTGAGAATCCTGGCAAGACGGAGTTGGCATGGCAGTCCTCAAAGACTAGCCTGGCTGGGGAAGGATGAAGTATGGATGGAGGCTGATGGAGGAGGAGAGAAGGTAGGAGAGACAGGAGTTGGAAGGCCCAGGGAGTCAGCCATTAGTCTAGGAGAGGAGGCTGTGGGGAGGGCACGGGGTGTCTGGGCTCATGCATCTGGACACGAAGACCTGGTCCTGTGACCTGGAGGGCAGGGCTGATAGAGCCGGAGGGTATAAGCCTGTGGATTTTTAAAAAATGGGAATTGGCCCTGGCCAGTTTGGCATAGCAGTTAGAACATCGGCCCATGGACCAGAGAGTCCCGGGTTCGGTTCCCACTAAGGGCATGTACCTCAGTTGCAGTTTGTCCCCAGCCCCGATTGGGGTCGTGTGGGTGACAACCACACAGTGTGTCTCTCTCACATTGATGTTTCTCTCTCTCTCTTCCTCCCTCTCTCTCTCCCACTCTATCTGAAGATAAATGCAAAAAAAAAAAAATGTCCTCAGGTGAGGATAAAAAATATATATATATGTATGTATGTATATATATAAAAATGGGAATTGCCCGGAAGTTGCATTTGTCAAGGAAGCGAGGCCTCCCTCCACACTGAATATAGCATAATGAGCAGCCTCTGAGGGGCTGCAGGAGGTGGGGGCACGGGGAAGATCTGTCTGCTTCTTCCTTCTTCCTCACCCCTCTGCCCCGCATCTGCCCCAGACATCCGCCTGGACTGGGAGACCTATGCTCCAGAGGAAAAGGAGGACCGGCTGCTGGAGCTCCTGGTGTTTTACGGGCCCCCTTTCCCACTGCGGAACCAGGACGGAAGCGAACTCCTGTGTCCCGAGACCCCAGAGAGCAGCAGCTCCTTGTCGTCCCCAAGTCTCTCTAAGGAGTTGTCCAGCCACGAAGCTGCCCATTCTGTGAGCAAAGTTGGGGGAGGGGTCGTGCGCTGATTGCCCAGGTGTGGCTAGTGGGCTGTGAGCCTCAGTGACGTCTCGATGACAGGCCGAGAGCAGATCCAGTGCGAATGACAGGGCCACACAGGTCATCTCAGTTGTCCTGCAGGGGCACGAGGGAGTGCCCTCCGACCACCTGTACCGCATCAGCCCCAAGCAGGTGGTAAGTTGGGGCTCGGCCGGGAGCTGCCTGGGAAAAGTCTCCCCTGGCCAGCTGGGCACCAAGCAGTGCTGTCTGTGTGCCTGTGCCAGGTGGTCCCTGCAGGGGGCAGCAGCACCATCTCCATCTCCTTCACACCCATGGTCCTCGACCCCTTCATCCTGCACAAGGTGGAGTGTGTAGGCTACGCCCTGGGCTTCATGAGCTTGGATAATGAGGTGAGCCCTCCTGGCCTCTCTCCGGGGTAGCACACTGCCTGCTCAGCCAGTGACAGCCAGTGACCAGGCTTGGGCTCCGTAGGTGGAAAGGGAGCTTCCAGGGAGGAGGCGGCGTCTGCAGGACTTTGCCGTGGGACCCCTGAGGCTGGACCTGCACAGCTACGTGAGGCCTGCACAGTGAGTGATCTGGGCCTCCCTGCGTTCCCCGAGGGGAGCGCCCTTCCCCAGCATTGGTGGGGACCAGACAGATCTGGGAGCAAACGATGGGAATGGTGGGAAGGAGCAGCCAGTTGGCCTGGCAGAGCGGGGCAACCAGGAGGCCCCAGAGCCCAGCCTGGCCCTGTGATGCGTTGCTGGCAGGCTGAGTGTGGAGCTGGACTACGGCGATGGCATGGTATTCCGGCAGCAGGCCAGCGACCTCATCCCTGAGCAGCCCTGTTCTGGGGTGAGTATGCTGCCCCTCGGCTCTGCCAATTTATCTAACCCTCAAATGCCCCTTTAGGCCCTTCTGAGGCACCGGTCCTATAGCCTGAGTCCCCACCCCAGAGCCATGGGCTTCAGAAGAGGGGAGAGATGCATCCCCAGCCTCCCCCACTTCTGTGGCGACCCAGGTGCTGAGTGAGCTGGTGACCACCCACCACCTGAAGCTGACCAACACTACAGACATCCCACACTACTTCCGGCTCCTGGTCTCCAGGCCCTTCTCCGTTTCTCAAGATGGAGCTAGCTTCAGCCACAGAGCTCCTGGCCCGAAGCAGGAGTGTGAGGAGGAGGTGGCAGCAGCGGGCAGGCAGCTGGTGCTCCACCCTCAGGAGAACATGCTGGTCAGTGGAGGGAGCATTCTGGGGTCCTCAACCTTGATGGCACACTCCCCTGGGTCAGAGTCACCTTCCGCTCTCATACACACACACGTGCGACAGGCAACGCACTTCACACCACCCTTGAACATTTGTACGCAGACAGAAACATACAGACATTTGTATCTAAACCACATGTTTAACCCCCACCCCCACAGCATGCCCTGTACACTCACGGACACTCAGGAGCACACTCCAATGAGACACACCATTTGCAGCAAACACAGGCCCTCTACACAGGTGGCTGACACAGGCAGGTAGGACCAGACCCCCCAGACCCCTCGCTCTTAGTCCCCTCTGCCAGTGTCCTGGTCAAGGCCGAGGCAGTCCCGTGAGCATCTCCACTTTGCACAGACTCACCCTTTCCACGTGCCCTCGCTCAGGGTTGTATGCCCGGCTCAGGTGAATTCACAGTCTGATTGCCACCTTTCCCTCAACGTAGGGTACTCCGGGTCCAAAAGTGACTTTCCTTCTTCTGATAGGGCATCTGGGATAATAGGATCCTGGGTTTGCAGAACTGGGAGGGGTGGTCCTGGGATGCCAGGGTCAGTAGGAATGTATCTGCCTCCTCTGCTTTCTAAGGCACTTGGAATAAGGACAGGCCACAGGCTACATGGGTGGTTGGCTGTGTGCACCCCCATATCTTCCCTGTGGGCTCCCCGGTGTGCAGCCAGGGAGGACAGCGGCCAGGCTGGGTGCCCTGAACTCTTCCCCAACTCCCCTCTGCATCAGAGGCTCCTTCCTCCTGTCCTCTGAGGGCTTTTCCTCACTACTGCTCAGAGCTCCAGCTGGGCCCCCGGCCTCTGCACACTCCTGGGCCCTCTCACTACTGCTCAGAGCTCCAGCTGGGCCCCCGTACCTCTGCACACTCCTGGGCCCTCTCACTACCGCTCAGAGCTCCAGCTGGGCCCCCGGCCTCTGCACACTCCTGGGCCCTCTCACTACCGCTCAGAGCTCCAGCTGGGCCCCCGGCCTCTGCACACTCCTGGGCCCTCTCACTACCGCTCAGAGCTCCAGCTGGGCCCCCGTGCCTCTGCACACTCCTGGGCCCTCTCACTACCGCTCAGAGCTCCAGCTGGGCCCCCGTGCCTCTGCACACTCCTGGGCCCTCTCACTACCGCTCAGAGCTCCAGCTGGGCCCCCGTGCCTCTGCACACTCCTGGGCCCTCTCACTACCGCTCAGAGCTCCAGCTGGGCCCCCGTGCCTCTGCACACTCCTGGGCCCTCTCACTACTGCTCAGAGCTCCAGCTGGGCCCCCGTGCCTCTGCACACTCCTGGGCCCTCTCACTACTGCTCAGAGCTCCAGCTGGGCCCTCACCTGCCTCTCCACACTCCTGGGCCCTCTCACTACTGCTCAGAGCTCCAGCTGGGCCCTTGTGCCTCTGCACACTCCTGGGCCCTCTCGGCCGCCAAGCCGTGCTCCCTCACAGAGTGTACTTCAGTGCAGGCGTCGAGTGTGCCACGTGCAACAGTGCCGGCCCTGGAGTCCTGACCAAATGCTCCCAGACACGACCATCCAAACTGAATGCATCTCCCTCCCCACCCAGTCCTGCCCACGCTGTGCCTCCTTTTGTGTGGCCTCTCATCTCAGCAAGCACGCCCAAGCTCTGGCCCTCCTCATCCCAGACAACTGACCAGCCACCAAGCCCTGCTGCTGCCCCTTCCTGTCCCTCAGCATGTCACCCTTCCCTTCATCCCACACCCATGTCTTGGTCCAGGACAGTGGTTTCCAGGCTGGGCAGCACACCACTGGCCTTTAGAAAGCCTGTTAGAAGTAGAAGACCCCAGGCCCCATCTCTGGAGATGAGAAGCAATCAGTACTTTTTTTTTTAATCCTCACCCGAGGACATTTTTGCATGTATCTGCAGACAGAGCAGGAGGGAGAGAGAGAAACATGATGTGAGAGAGACACATCGACTGGCTGCCTCCCACACGACCCCAACCGGGGACGGGGACAAACTGCAACCGAGGTACATGCCCTCAGTGGGAACCAAACCCGGGTCTCTCTGGACCGCAGGCCAACGCTCTAACCGCTGAGCCAAACCGGCCAGGGTACAATCAGTACTTTTAACAAGTGCCTCCGTTAATTCTGACTAGCTGGTCCCAAGGAACTTGGGAGCCATGCGTCAAGCCCCAGCTACACCTTGGCCCCCCTAATGTGCTCTCACCCACTCGAGCTCCCCCAGCCCACCTTCCCACAGCAGCCAGAGTGACCTCCGAGGAAGGCAAAGCTGAGTCGGATGTCCCCTGCTAAAAACCTATCAGAGCCCGGCAGGCGTGGCTCAGTGGTTGAGCATCGACCCATGCACCAAGAGGTCGCCGGTTCAATTCGTGGTCAGGGCACATGCCCAGGTTGTGGGCCCGATCCCCAGTGAGGGCACGCAGGAGGCGGCCAGTCAATGTTCTCTCTCATCGATGTTTCTATCTCCTTTTCCCTTCCTCTCTCTCTAAAATCAATAAAGAAAAAAAAACCTATCAGGGCTCCTCATTGTCCTCGGGATAAAGACACAGGCCTAACCCGGGCTGAAAGGGCCTGCCCACAGCACTGGTCATGCTAGGGGTAAAGGGCAGTTTGCTTGCCGTCTCCGTCTGGCCCTCGGCTCCCAAGGGCAGGCATGGCACTGTCTCTGGTATAACGGGCACTGGGCACAGAGCAGGGCAGTGTCTGTGGAATGGATGTGCTCTGAGCAGTGGGGGGGAGCACAGCTGGGCTCTGTGCTGGGCAGGGCTGGGTCAGGCTGGGCCCTGCAGACCTGCCGCGTCAGGACTGAGCGGGGACCCTGTCGGGCCTGCGGGGCCGTGAGGGTGGAACAGAGCTCCAGGTGGGGCAGCTGCTGCCGCCGTCAGCAGCCTGACGGCTGGTTCTTGTCTGCTCAGGTGGACGTGTCCTTCTCGCTGTCCCTGGAGCTGCTTTCCTATCAGAAGCTCCCGGCTGACCAGATGCTGCCCGGAGTGGACATTCAGCAGAGCGCGAGTGGAGAGAAAGAGATGGTGTTTACCCAGAATCTGCTCCTGGAGTATGCCAACCGGACCACTCAGGTGAGTCCCAGGCCAGCTCCATGCGCTGAGGAGGGTGAACTGGGCTGGACTCTTGTTTTGGTGGGGTCCGAGGAGGACAAACCCCAACAGAGCCCTCAGAATAAGAGGGGCCCAATCTGCCTTGGAAGAGGCCTTGCCCATGGAGAGATGAGGGTCATTCAGCCTTACAGGTCTCAGGTGCTCAGAGCCAGGTGAGGGGCTAGCCAGTGAAAAATCAGGGAAGGCTTCCAGGAGGTGGCATGTAAAGTCTCCAATTTAATCACTGTTTACTGGAAAGGGACAATACATTAAAACCAGGCCAAGGGAATGGCCTGATGGGTGGGAACAGTGAGTACCCAAGGGACAGACTCGGGCTCACGTGGGGCCCACAGGCCTAGTTCTGTGGGCCGTGACAGAAGGTCACAGGGCTGTGCTTTGGAGCTGAACTGAAGGGGCCCAGGCAGGTAGGGCGCAGGGGGAGGTTGCAGGTGAGGAACATGAAGGAATGGCCTGGCCTGGGGTGGATTCCAGTCGAAAGGATCTGAGCACTGGAGCCAGGCGAGCCCTCCAGCTTGGCACTTGGGCAGCCGCTAGAGCCCAGGGGCAGAGGAGGCCAGGTGATGAGGTGGGTTTGGCAGTGCCTGAGGGGGATGTGGTGGCAGTGGGGCTGTCAGGAGCTCGGGCACACAGGGCACAGGTGGGGCCTGATGTCAAAGGAAAGGGGGAGACGGCCTAGAGCCCAAGAGGAAAACAGGGCTGGGCCTTGGGGCCCCCACGGAACAGGGTGGGAGGAAGGCAGACGGCACCCGACCAGGGAGCAGAAACCAGAGCCTGAGCAGGGCAGGGGCGGCAGGGGGGCGATGGCACCTTCCTGGCCCTCTACCTCCCAGAAGCCCACCGGTAGCTCCTGGCTATGGATGGCGGCGCCGGCCCCTTCCACCCCCATGCTGCTGCCTGTGCACTCCTCAGAAGCGCCAATACTTGGGTCAGCAGGGCGAATGTGTCCCTGAGACTGTGGCTGAGCCCGGCAGGAGTGGGCAAGATCACCTGCTCCCCACTAAGTTAAAGGCTCTGTCCCCTTAGGTGGTGCCCCTGCGGGCCACTGTGGCCGTGCCCGAGCTGCAGCTCTCCACCAGCTGGGTGGACTTTGGGACCTGCTTTGTGAACCAGGGGCGGGTCCGCGAGGTCTACCTGATGAACCTGAGCGGCTGCCGGAGCTACTGGACTGTGCTGATGGGTATGTCATGCTCGCCTGCCAGCCCACTGCCTCCCTGTGCAGCTGGGTCAGCACCCCCAGGAAGGTCTGTGTGTCCTATCCCTGCAGGGATGGCCAGTTCCCCAGTCCTAAGTGATCCTGCAGAGATGGGGGGTCGGGACTTCCGGGGGCAGCACATGGGGCTGCCTGCCCACGCTTGTTTGCCCTCCCCTTGGTGCAGGCCAGAAGGAGCGGGGCAAGGACCCTGCGGCCTTCAAGGTCTCCCCGAGCAGTGGACTGCTGGAGGCCCGACCAATCAATGCACCTCCAACCTCCATCACCCTGCAGGTTCTCTTCACTGCCAGGTACAGTCCCTCCAGTCCCCCAGCACTGCCCAGAGGCTGGCACTCCCTAACCCCAGCCCCTGTGCCCCCAGGAGCAATGAGCTGTATGAGTCCACACTGGTGGTGGAAGGTGTGCTCGGCGAGAAGGCCTGCACCCTGCGGCTCCGGGGCCGAGGCTCTTACGATGAGAGATTTGTGTCACCCTTCCGGCTCTGAGGCGCTGTCCTCACAACCCCGCCCCCCCAGCAACTTTGTAAATAAACGTGGCCCAGAGCTAAGGAACAGATGTGTCGTGTAGGGGCCCACACTGGAGGACCTCTGAGCAGTTCCTGGGACGGAGACTCCCTTCCAGGACACTTGTCTCAGCGCAGGCCCCACACTTCTGTCCTCATAGGCCACACCACTGTGTGACCATGGTGGTTAAGAATCAGTACTCAGACTGAGCAGAGGCAAGACCAGCATGGTAGGAACTGGCCCTTGAGAAAGACACAGTCGCTCTGGCCGGTTTGGCTCAGCGGTTAGAGCGCCCGCTTGCAGTCCGGAGAAAGACACAGTCACCAAGCTAAGGTCACACACATTTACTATGTCTGTTGCACTCCACATCCACAAAGCCCCTCCCCAGAATTACACGGTGGCCTTTGTGGCCCGGGTGATCTGGCCCCTCCCCCACTCCTGTACTGTGTCTTCAGTGTTCACATTTTCTAAATTAGCTGCAGTGGCTTGATTTGCCCACAGCGGCCAAAGCCAACAGCGCGGCACTTTCCCACGCGGCGTCACTTCTGTAGTGTTGCTTTCTTGCCACCAAAGCCGACTGTCGGGGTAGCGCCTCACTCAGTGTCCAGGGTATTCAAAGACAGCAGCAGCTCCCATTCCGGTCCCGATGCACATGGACACCACCCCGTAGGCCCTGTGGAGTCAACACCATGTTGGCTGAGTGAGGGCACCAAGGGCAGAAGGCCCCCACTGAGCCTTCTCCAGGCCAGGCAGAGCTGGGTGACCAAGGCCTTCATGGGCACAGAGGATGCAAATCTATTGGTATTTTTTTCATGGCTGCCCACCTGGGCACACACAGAGTGGCAGGTGTCTGTTGCAGGCCAGGGTCCCCTTCACAGCTGGCTCTCATGGAAAATGGGGCCACACCCCTACATCCTTAATTCAGAGTGTGTGCAAGTATACTTCCCCCCAGTCTCCTTGGGTGCCCAGCTTGGGCATCCCCCAGGACACCCCACGGGGAACTGGCCTCACCTCTTCCCACGGCGCTTCAGCTCGTTGAGCAGCGTGATGACCTGCCGAGCCCCAGTGCAGCCCAGTGGGTGGCCCAAGGCCACAGCGCCCCCCAGCGGGTTCACCTTCTCTGGAGGCAGTCCTAGCTTCTCCATACAATACACGGCCTGAGAGGAGGCAGAGCATCCGCTATAGTTCCCTCCCCTGTCCCCTGCACCCCTGGCTCAACCTGGGCTGCCCAGGGCCCAGGCAACGTGGAGAAACAAAGGCTCACCTGGCTTGCAAAGGCCTCATTGATCTCAAAGATGTCCACGTCATGCACTGTCAGCCCTGCAGGCAAGGAGGAAAGACCCGAGCTGATCCAGTGGCCCCTTACCCTTAGCAGGACCTTCAGTCTCCCGAGGCCCCACCTCAGCCCTGGCCTGCAGGCTGTGTGGTGTCTGTCTCTCTTCCAGATGCATGACTGGGTCTCAGCTGTGGGGTCAGGAAGGGCTTCTGGTGCGAGTGCTAGTCTATCCCACCTTCACGCTGCAGCACCCACAGGACCACCACCCTCCAGCAACAGCATGAGAGGCAGAAGTGGGTCCAGGTCTAGGGTGTGAAGGAGCCGCCTTACCTGCTTTTCGCAAAGCTTCAGGGATGGCATAGGCAGGTCCAATGCCCATGACGTCAGGCGGGACCCCAACCACTGCATAGGATCTCAGGATCCCAAGGATGGGAAGGCCCAACTCTTCTGCCTTGGACCTCCGGGCCAGCAGGATGGCAGCTGCCCCATCGCTCACCTGGCTAGAGTTTCCTAGAGACAAACCATGGGGTGAGGAGGTCTCAGGGCAGGGCTGAGGAGGCCTAGCCCTCCCGTGTCCACCTCGCCTAGTGACTCCAGGTTCCCAGAGAACACCCAGCACGGACAAGGCCCCTTCCTCACCCCCTCCCCGAGCCCAGTCTTACCTGCAGTAGTAGAGCCGCCCTCCTTGAAGGCAGGCTTCAGTTTGGCCAGGCCCTCCATGGTGGTGTTGGGGCGGATACCCTCATCCTGGGCCACGGTGACCCTCTTCTCGGTGCCCTTGTCATCGTGGACCGTGGTGGTCACAGGCACAATCTCAGCTTGGAAACAGCCCCTGCTCTGGGCTCTGGCTGCCCTGTCAGCACCACGGACAGTGAGGCTCCCTTCCTTCCTGGGGTCCCTCTGCTGCCTCAACTTCCTCCCCACGGAGGCAGACACGTGAGCTTAGACTGCTAAATGCTGGGACAAGCTCACCTTGGGGGAGCTCTGAAGGACTGGTGTGGGTTCCCCACTATACCCACCTGCCCTGGGAGTGCGAGGCCCAAGGCCTCAGGTCAGATCCCTGCCAATCCCAGTCTCGAAGGGGAGGAGAAGGCATGGGGCTGGCGGCTCCCAATGAGCCTGGCGGCTCCCACTGGGCCTGACAGCCATGCAAACCTGCGCTGGCTCAGCGCCTGCGCCAAAGTGAGGATGGAGCCCCGGCAACATCCGGCTGGATTCTGCCAACCTTTCTGTGTGATAACGGCACAGTCTCACCTGTCCCCCGGGTTCTGCTTATGTGAAATGACGTACTGTCCCCCGGGTTCTGCTTATGTGAAATGATGTACTGTCCCCCGGTTCTGCTTATGTGAAATGACATATACTAGACCACTTGATGAATTTTAGTATTGGAACAGTGGGAAAACGGCATTTTAGGTGATGTTTACAGTCACATGCAAAATGAAAGTGCCTGGAGCATTCCCATGGGAGAAGCGACAGCTTGCACCAAATTCTCAGCTGGTTACTTGACCCTAAGTGGCTAAGAACCACCGCCTCAGGAAGCCCACCTGGCCAGATAGTACTCCCTTCCTCTGCTGTCCTCTCCCTGGACAGCTGGGCTTGCCAACTGCAGCCTGCCTCTGCCCACAGGCCTGAGCCCCTGGGGTCCCTCCGATGTCATCTCCAGCCCCTGACTCAGGATACTACCCCAGACACAGGAGTGGTTCGGAAGCCGGGATACCTGCGTCGCCAGCAAAGCTGGCCCCACACTCCAGGCTATCCAGGTAGCCTGTGGCTACCAGGTCTAATCAAACCGTAGCAGTTAGAGAAGAGTCCTGGCCCTCATTACCTTGCCACCCCCTGCCTGATGAATAGATGGGGAAACTGAGGCCCGGTGGGGAGAAGACACTCAGGGTGAACAGACAACAGTAGGACACGGAAGCGCTAACAATGCACAGTGGTGCCGGCTCCCCACTCTCTCCTGCGAGGCACGAGACTTGGAGACCACTCACGGCCCTGCTGTAGCTGGTCTAAAGACAGCTGCGCCGAGACCACTTAGGTCAGCCTTTGAACACTCCACCCACACAACTCACTTTTGCTGGGAAGCCAGTGCAAAGGCATCCTGCTTCTCCCGTGAAATGCCAAACCGCTCAGCTACATTCTCCGAGGTTATCCTAGAAGACAAACAGCAGTGTGGGCAAGGTCTGGCGGCCTGGGACCGGCCAGGCTGTGGAGCTGTGCTTGGAACTCTGGGCACTGGGAGGACAGGAAGGCCAGTCCACGCCGCAGAGACAGTGATGACAACTCAGGGGGAGTGTAGGGGGCACAGACAGGGAGTCACCCAGATCCTAAGAAGCTCACACCAGAGACCAGAAGAGAAGGGGGCAGACGAGAGTATGAAAGGGGGCACTAACTGGCTACTCTTGGCCAGCTTCTCTTCCACCTCAGGAAAACTGCTTCAGTGTGGGAGATGAGGACCCCCAGGTCCCCTCTGGGAAGATCACACCCAAGCTTCCTGCACAAGTGGCTGGAGCCCACCCTTACCCTGGGAACCCAGAGCTACAGGGAGGCCTTCCAGCTGGGGCTTCTGGCTTTACGGGCTTCTCTTGGCGATATGGTCACTGGATGTGGAGGCAGCCAGGGCTCTGCCCTCTCTGAGCTTCAAGTGGAGCCAGGAGCCCTTGCCCAGGGACTCAAGGGTGGCCCGGAAGCTCAGGGACGCTGCAGCAGAGCTGATGGGCTATGTGAACTCATGCTTTCCCTGCTGCGTCTGCTGAGGCCCAAGTCCCCCGCCCAGCAGGTCCGGTACCCAGAAGCTTCCGAATTCCTCAACTCTCTAGTTCTCCAAGGCTTTGGGGTGCAGCTGCCATCATCCCTCATGTGACTGAACCCCCGCCCCCCCATGTTTGGAAACCCAGAGGCACAGAGAGGACCTGGGGGCTCAGGAAAGAGAAGTCGGGCAGCAGCGAGCCCCATCCCGAGTCCCTGCAGAGCAGACCAAGCGGAAAGCAGGCGGCCAGGGTTGGCACCATCACCCGCAAGATGATCCGAGTTCCTGTGCCCCTGCCCCAGGCCCGGCAGGGAGCGGAGGGGACACAGGCACACCCTAAGGTGAACACTCACCCCATAGGAATCAGGCAATCTCTGGCCTTCTCCTTCTCCACCAAGCGTGAAGTAATATTTCCAGGGTTCCCTCTGTCGGCCAGAGACATGGACTCCACCCTGAGGAGGCGGTGAAGGAGGTGGTCACTAGCAGGACTCAGCCAGGGACAGCGGTGCATCTGACAGGTGCAGGGAGGTACCAGGGAGCCCAGCAAGGTGCTGCCAGCGAGGCAGAGCTGGGGTGCGGGAGAGAGCATGGCACAGCCCATGCCTGCGGCGGGGCCACGCTTCCTGGGCACAGCTGCCCCTGCGGCTCAGCCTAGTGTGGGCCACAGAGGGGGAACCGTGTCCAACAAGCCCGGTCCCTGCCCTTGGGGACCACAAATTCAGAGAGAAGAGACAAAAAATTTAAAAGCTGCAGATCAAAGAGTGACATGACCTGCATGGACGCGGAGGCGCCAGGAGCTGAGAGGAAGGTGAGGCCTCAGTTCCTGTGGTCCAAGGGCTCTGAGGAGGTGGGGAGCACGAGGCCTCGAGGGTGACAGGCAACCCAGACCAGATGCTTTTCAGGTGCCCAGCACTACTGTGAAGTCTTCCAGGTCTCAGTGCTCTGAACAGTCAGTCACATACGTGCCCCAAGCGCTGGCTATTCTTATGTTTCATCTCATCAACTTCAACAAGGCCGAGGTTCCAGGGCCGCTTTACACAGCACACTGAGGCCCAGGAGGCTGAGTAACTTGTTCATGGTCCTTTAGCCGGGATCCAGATTTAGATAGTCTGGCCCCGAGCCCACTCCCAACTGGGATGCTCTGGGGCACTCTTCATGACTGAGGTCTCTGGGGAACAGCCAACCTGTGGCGTGGGGGACAGTCCTGGCTCAGACCCTCAATACCCTAGTAACACGGTCTTTAACCTGCTTGGGTGCGCCAGATGCCCTCTAGGAAACTCATGAAGGCTCCAGCCTTCTCCTCCAGTTCCCCACACCCCTCCCTCCCGCAGTAAGACAGAGGGACACGAGCCTGAGCAAAGGGCAGACTGGGCTGTGGCCCTTTCCCAGCCCAAATCCCTGCAGTTCGTCTTTGATTTTATTTACAGCTGCAGACACCAGGCAGTACAACCCAGTGCCAGTGGGCACAGCCCCGAGATGGCCCAGCTCTCCCAGCACATGCCCACCGGGCCTAGGCCCTGCACCCTGCCCCTCCCGGAGGCATGCCCAGTACAACTTCCACGGCTCCAGATGCTGCAGCCAGATACAGAGCCGCAGCTGACAGCGGCCGAACCGCCACAGACCGACCACGCCCCTCAGAACCCAGGGGCAGCCATGAGTTCCTGCCTTGGCCTCAGGGTGGGGACAAGGAGACCACCGAGGAAGGGGAATGGGCTAGTTGTAGAGTAAGCAGCTGTCCCGGCTTTAGGGAACCAAAACTACAACTTCTCCCTCAGCAAGGGCCATGGAAGGAAACTCAAGAGCTCTATCTTCTCATAACGCTTGCCCACACTTGCCAGCCTGGCAGATTTCCAAGCTAGGGGCTACTTCTCAGCTGCATTTATAGGAGCCCTCCCTCAGCTGCCCCAAGGGGAATCCTGAAATCACAGCCTTCTGAGAGCTCAGGAAGATATTAGTCTTATTGTTACAAGCTGGTTAATAAGCTCTGGCAGGAAGAAATTCTTACCCACAAGCCATGCCAATGTCATAAGACCCATTTCTGATGCCACCTGCAACAAAAGCATTTCATAAACAACCTTCAACAGAGTCCACCTGTTCTGGGAACAGGGGAGCCTCTTCCCCACCTGGTCTCAAAGTGGGCCCCAGCCTCAGAGATGGAAGACCCAGGAGTGTCCAGAAAAGGCTAGGGGTAGTAGCAAGAGGCTCTCCTCTTTCTGTGATGACAGTCCTCTCAGAAGTCCTTCCTGCTTGCCCAGTAGATAGTGACTTTGCTGATCCAGATTCAGAGCCAGGACCAAGGCCGGGCTACAGCAATGGGCCCCCACCCAGTCACAACTTACCAGCTATGCTGGCCACTGCCTGGAGCCCCGAAGAACACTGTCTGTTGATAGCAGACAAAGGCACAGTCTCTGGGATGTCACTGAAACAGAAGGTGAGACCACAGAGTCAGCCCCCTGCCCTGCCAGGCTCTCACAGAAAGCAGGCCTGTGCTCCTGGACTGCCCCATCAGTGGGTGCAAATGCCAGAACAAACCAGCAGCCCTGTCCCGGCTCCAGGCCAGACCCATCTCTACAGGAGCTTGTTCCCCAAGGCCCCACAAGCACATGCCCTCCCGCCCTGTGATTCTCCGACCAAGGCCAAGCAGAGCCAAAGGCAAGGGAAGGCTGATTAGGACACAGGGATGCTTCTTTCTCTCTCCTTGAAGATTCAAAAATGAAAACTATACAAGGTGGGGCAAAAGTAGGTGTACAGCTGTAAGTATGTGAAACAGTTTATTCTTGTATTATTTATTATTATATCATTTTCCATATGAATAACTATAGACCTACTTTTGCCCCACCCTGTGTGTCTGTCTCTCCCAAACAGAGAAGAGAACCTACTGCTGGGACAGAGAACCTGAGCAAAAGAAATGTCTGAAGTATGAGGCCAGAAACCATCTCTACTCCTCAGCCTTACTAGTGACTATGTGGCTAACACTTTTTTGTTCCCCTTGTCTCTGGAAAGCCTGCTTCCAGCTGGTCAAAGATCCCGATGGGTACCAGATGTTCTAACATTCCTTGTTCTGGTGGGTTCCCCCAGGCTCCTACCATGCTCCCTTCCCTGGAAGCTGGTTGGGCTGCCCCACCTGATGTCACCTGTCCTGGGGAAATCCCCAGACCCATGGACTAAACCATAGGACAAGGGGGGTCAAAGCACTCTGGTGTGCAGATAGCCTCCCAGGTCCCCTAACTCTCTAGTTACCACCCCTTCATCCAACCCCCCTAGTTTTCACTAAACGTCTACTCAGTACGAGATACCACCTCAGGGATGCTGACATGCTTATAATACAGTGCCCTAGAGGATGCCCGACCAACACAGAAAATAAATCAACTAGAGAGACTGAAATAACAGAGCAAGATGGCAAAGCACGTCACGAGGAAGCGCACAGCTAGCTAGCGGCGAGGTCCTCATTTCAAGGCTGGGAGCTCAGGGAAGTAAGCCCAATGGTGAAGCTGCGCAGAGAGGAGGTAGGTACAGCACTCCAAGGGGACAGAATGGGAACAGTGGGCAGACAGGCTGGCTGAGAGAGGAAGAGCCAAGGCCAGTAAGCCACTGGGAGATAAGGCTGGAAGTTAAATCTGGAGCCAGCTCTGAGAGTCCGTGAAGTCCAGGCTAAGCAGTCTGAACCTCTCTTGGTCCCTAGAGGTTTTGTCAGTTTTCCTGTCCCTTCACTGGCCAACGTTCCCATTATTTCTTCTCCATGCAGTTGGGAGTACAGAGCTAAGTGGTGGTTAAAATCTACATGTGGAAATAACAAGCACTCCTCCTCTGTCTCGTGACAGCAGTAAGTGAAGGGCAAGTTTACCAGGGCCCCTCCTGGGCTGCCCCTCACCTAGGGTTCCGCCTTGTCCCCAAATCTCTACGAGTGGGATATACCTGAAGGTCCCCACTTGCTCAACTGGCAAAAAAGCTGAACGACACTCCTCAGTGTGCCTACTTGGTGATTTACCTGGAAAAAGGGGACAGAGTCCAAACAGTACTTACAAAAGGCAAAGCAACACGTTGACTTTGGCTCAAAATCAGGTCACACAGATCCTTTGCTCTGCCCCCAAAGGTCATTTATCCTGGCCAGGTAAAGTACGGGAAGGTAGGATCCACAAGAGCAGGGTGTTGCAGACCCTGGCTGCCTCCAGGTCTTGTGTCCAATCTGATCCTCTCCTATCCACAAGCCGAGTTCCCTGAGGCCCAAGCCCTCTCAAGAGTCCAAATTGCCAACCCACAGCTAGAACTAGAAAAGGTTACCTCAGAAACTGGGCGATTCGAGCCATGACTGCCCCGGCCCCCGGCTGAAGTACATTTCCTGTGGACAACAAACCTTGATTCAGTGCCCGGTGGTGTTCGGGGTACTAATGTACATCTGTGAATACCAGAGAGGGGATATTCCAGATCTTTCTTCAGAAACACGAGCCCTCAGCAGGCTCACTTGAGGCTCCTAAACTTCAAGGTGTGGAACTGGGGGAGCAGGCTGTATAGCAGCTCTCCCTGGTCATACACTAGACCCAGCCCTGAGGGTCCCAAGCGCCCTTGCCCATGTACCTTGCCTTTCCAAATCACACAATGGGCAGGTTGTCTGCTTTTAAAGGTGTCATGGAAAGGAAAGAAGAATGCAATGCAAAGCTTGAAGTCTAACACACTGGTTCTGTCAGTTAGGGAGATGGGTTTCTGAAAATGCACACCTGAGTGTCCTCTGCCAATCCCTGCTATAACTCCATAGGTGGAACAGTGATTTCCAACCCATGGGTGATGGCATCTGCAGTATTTAATAATCAGACTCTTGCCACATTATGTTGTTATGTTTTGAGGCTAGAGGAGTAGAAGTGAGGAAAAGGGACTGATCAAAGGTCAAGAAACCCTGGATTCAGATCCAAAGCTCTGCTGCAAATTCTCAGGCCTCAGTTTCTCCATCTGTAAGTGAGGGATTGGACTAGATTGATTTTGATGCTCCCTCCAGTTCTGTTGAAGCAGAGACTGGATGTCAGGGTTGGTAGAGAATCCTTGTTTCCTGTCTCATAGGGTATCCTCAAACCCCCATGCCAAGTGTCTTGATGTCAGAAGGTCTGTCATTTGAGAGCCCTGTTTCTACCATACTTAACATGCAGAATGTGCTCAAAGGTGAGGTTGGAGCCTAGCCTTAAAAAAACAAATTAATCTTATCTGTGCGCAGTCCCTGGACCTCCCCCTCGGTGAAAACGCCTGTAAACTCCTGGAGGGTGGTGATGTGTTTGAGGATCTTAGCAGGACGGGAGGGTGAAGAGGAACGAGCACAGGGCCTAGGCAGCGTGCTCACCCACGCAGATGTCTCCCAGTTCGGCCGGACGCAGCCGGACGTCTTGGAGAACCGCGGTCATGACGGCCGAGAGGAGTTCGTCGGGGGTGGTGTCCTGAAGAGGGAGGCGTGGCCGCAGTGACCCCGGGCGGCAGTGTACGGGGTCCCAGGACCTCCGCTACCCAGCCCCACTTTTCCACCCCAGGGAGGCAGATCGGTCACAGCTCGGGCGCGCAGCCACTGCCGGCTCCGAGGGGAACCGAGCAGAGGAGCCAAACCCAGTCCGCCCCTCGCCGCCATCTCACACCGGCGCCCGGATCCAGGGCCTCACCTTGAAGCCGCCGCGGCCCCCCCGGCCAATGGCCGTGCGCCGCCCGTGCACCACGACCACGTCCTCGGCCGACGCCCGCGCAGCGCCGCCCCAGCACGGCGCGGCCCGCAGCTCAGGCTTGGAGCCCGAATAAGGCCGGCCGTCCAAATGGCCCAACACCACCTTCAGCCTCTGCATCGCGCAGCGTGGCCCGGCAGACCCCTACCTGGCCGGGAGCAGAGCACGGGAACCAACAGACTGTCGCCAGGGCAGTCGCGGAACAGCACCTTTAACCACGACCCTGCGGGACCGACGCGCCCCTCCCTCCCGAAGTCCCGCCCACCTCCTGCCTCCGCCAACCAGAAGGCGAGTCTGCGTTAAGGCCCGCCTCCGCCGCAAACTAAACCACCCGTAGCAGGGGTCACGGGCACCGACAGAAGGGTCTTTCCACTCAAAGCCTACCGCTGCCAAGCAGAAGGTGGGCCTTTCTGAAGCCCCGCCCAGAAAAGGAGGTCGCGTGCCAAACCTGAGGCAAGACTCCCGAGCCCTCTTGGTATCTCGAAAAAAATCTCCGCCACTGCCGGGTTCCCTTCCCCTACAATCCAGCCCACTGCTGGCCGCCAAACAGAAGGCGGCACTGTCGGGAGCCCGACCCACGGCTCCTTGCTCGGGAAGGAGGCTCGGACTCTAAACCATCTTCCCCACTCCAAGCCTTCTCTGCTGTCTCCTGGATCCCAGCACCTCAACTGTGGCACCTAAGCCCTGGCAGGTTTGGCTCAGCGGTTGGAGCATCGACCCAGGGACCAGAGACTCCCGGTTTGGTTCCCGCTAAGGGCACATAGCTCGGTTGCAGTTTGTCCCCTCCCGTTGGGGTTGTGTGGGTGGCGACCACTGGATGTGTCTGTCTCTCTCACATGGATGTTTCTCTCTCTCTCTCTCTCCCGCTCTATCTGAAGATAAAGGCAAAAATGCCCTTCATGAGGATAATAAATAAATAAAAACTGCAGGACCTAAATAATTCTGAGATGCCCCAGAACCCACCTGGACGTGCTTGGGCTCTCCTGGAAAGTCTGTCCAGAAGATAGAGGGAATGTGGGATTCTGAGGCGGCAGGAGAATGGAGTGTACAAAGGTGCCCAGATGTGACAAGCTCCCTATCTGAGAGAGCACACCATACACTTCTTTAAATTACCAATTTTACAGTCACTTGGGATGATTTGATCAATGTCCATCTTCATTACTAGGCTGGGGTCTCCATCAAAGCAGGGAGGGACCTTGTATCCATGGTGCCAACAATATGCTTGACACTTAGAAAGTGATCTGTAAAAACCTATAGAATGAATGAATGAACCAGAGCTCCCCAGGTCAGGATTGAGTCTCCCCCAATCCTAAAGAGTAAGGCCAGGTGCCCCCTTAATTCCCAATGGCAATGTGTTTCCCTAGAGCAACGATTTCAACCTTTTTCGTCTTCATGGCACACATAAACTGATCACTAAAATTCTGTAGCACACCAAAAACTGTATTTTTTTGCGATCTGACACACACGCGCGCGCGCACACACACACACACACACACACATACAAAAGGTATAATTTTGATTCATTCACATCAGACGACTATTGTGTTGGCAGTTGCTTTTTGTTTTTCTTTTTTTACAATCTAGGGGAAAAGGGTCAATGCAACTAAATGGGTCAGGTATTGCATGTTTTTAAAATGATGGTGGCACAACAGTGTGCTTCCTGCGGCACACAGAAATTGTTGCCCTAGATGGTAGTACTGCGTTTCCCCCAGACACCAAAGGGCAGGGCGCCCTGTTACCCCCAACCTGGGAGGGGAGGGTTGTGCCCTACACCTTTCGGGAGCAGAGCCACGGCATGACTCAGACTCCAGGAGGCAAGAAGGCATTTTCCCACCTCTACCTTTGGGTGTATAGCTGGGGACTCCCCTTACTCTTCCGGGTGGGATTGCGTGTTCCCAAGAGAGAGGCACACACAGTCCTTGCCTCCCCCACCAGCCTCCAGGGCAGGACTGCAGGAACCCCTCAGATCCCCACTGGAAAGATGCGATTCCACCAATTCCCAAACAGCAAGGCCCCTGTTTCCTACAACTCGCGAGGGAGGATCGGCATCCCCGCCGCGGCCCTCACCAGACCCCAGAGCAGAGGTCGGTGGATCTCCCCAGACCTCAAAAGACAGGTCCCCAGTTTCCTCATCCTGCACACACGGTCCCCCGAGGGCAGAGGCGGGGCGCCCCCACTTCTGCACCTCGGCTCGTGCTCCAGATTGAAGGGTTGGGCGGCGCTTCTCGGAAAGTGAAACCCACGGGGCGGGGCGGGGGAGCCGGGACGGGAGGGAAGGAGGAAGTGCGGGCCGGAGACCCGACTCCACAGTGCGGAAGCTCCACTCCGGCCCGCCATGGCTGCGGCAGTCCCGGACGCGGGGTCTTCGTCCCCCGCGCCCTCCATGTCCTCCCTGCCCCTGGCTGCGCTCAACGTGCGAGTGCGGCGCCGCCTGTCGCTGTTCCTGAACGTGCGCACGCAGGTGGCGGCCGACTGGACCTCGCTGGCAGAGGAGATGGACTTCGAGTATTTGGAGATCCGGCACCTGGAGAAGCACGCCGACCCCACGGGCAGACTGCTGGACGACTGGCAGGGACGACCCGGCGCCTCGGTGGGCCGTCTGCTCGAGCTGCTCGCCAAGCTGGGCCGCGACGACGTGCTGCAGGAACTGGGGCCCTGCATCGGTGAGGACGCCCCCGGCCGGCCTCATACCCGGGGATGGGGGAGCTGGCCTTCGCCGGCCTCAGCAAGCAGTCTCCCCGAGGCGGCCCTCGTTTCCAGGAGGGGTGGGGGAGCGGCCTGCAGAGGGGAAACCGTGCGGGATCAGTTCCCTTTTTCAGTACCGAGGATGGGAGAGACTGGAGAAAGGAGGTGAAGGCCCCGAGAGGCACAGAACGAAGGGAAACAGCTTAGGCAAAGGGTTTCCTGTAGGGTCAGGAGTCAGAATCCAGGTCCTCTGTGGGGGTGTCTGGGTTGCTTAAAGCAACAGGGCAGGTGAGGGACTGAAAACTGACAGTCTTAGTATCCTCAGGTCCCTAGGAAATGTGCCACTTCCCACATAGTTGCCCACAGACAGGCAGGCACACCTTGGTTGGTTGGAGCCTCTACCCTCATACATGTAACCACTGGGTCTCCTGAGCCCTTCTTGCATGCCCAGCCCCTTGTTCACATTACCTGTGGATTCTAGAAGAAGCAGACCTTGGGTTCAGGAGCCCTAGGACGGGTGGCCAGGGCAAAGGACAGAAAGATACAAACCTGACTTTGATGGCTTCCCAGATGGCCATAACACCGTTGACGAGCCTTTGGGATAGTCAGAGCCAGATGGGAGTTCAACTTTTCAGAGCTGTCAAACCGTGGGTGGCACCAGTGGGCTGGAGAAACCCTAGAGCATAACACTGCCAGGGAGGCGGGACCGGGGCTGGATCCTGACTGTGGACAGAGACTTGGGGCACCCCTGGGGAGCCTGCCACACTGTCTCTCCCCCACAGAGGAGGATTGCCAAAAGTACATTCTGAAGCAACAACAGGAGGAGTCTGAGAAGCCCTTACAAGTGGCCGCTGTAGACAGCAGCGTCCCACGGACAGCAGAACTGATGGGCATCACCACACTTGATGACCCCATGGGTAAGGGCCTAATACTGCTTCCCTGATCCAGGTGGGCCATTGGGCATTGTGATGTTTGAGTATGATTGTTGAAAGCAGATGAACTGTGGTACTTTGGGCAAGTCACTTAAGCTCTCTGAGCCTGTTTCTTCTCCCAAGAAATGGAAATAATAATAGTCTTACCTCTGGGTGAGTGTGAAATGCTCATGAAATGACGTGTCTGTCTCAGGGTCAACCCAGGGCTTGGCCCAGGATGGGGGGGGGGGGATGGAGGGGGGAAGGTGCTCATCTTTCCTCTCCTTGAAATAGCACTTTCCCTGAGTAGTGTTATCTCAGGGTTTGTATAGGATCAGAACCAGGGTCACCTAGGCTGGGGCTCCCGGCTGGGCTTCTCCCCAGCCTTCCAACACAGCTCTGACCATCACCCTTATGGTCTGCACCCAGGGAAAATGCCTGAGCGATTTGATGCCTTTATCTGCTACTGCTCCAGCGACATCCAGTTTGTACAGGAGATGATCCAGCAGCTGGAACAGACAAACTATCGGCTGAAGTTGTGTGTGTCCGACCGCGATGTCCTGCCTGGCACCTGTGTCTGGTCTATTGCCAGTGAGCTCATTGAGAAGAGGTTGGCTGGGTGGCCAGGAGGCGAGGGGGTGGGCACAGAAAGCCCTGCTCAGGGATCCAGCTGCTGGGATTTTTCCCAGCTGGGCCCTGTCTAGCCTGGGCACGGTGGGCTCCTCCCAAGGCCATCCCTTGAGAGTATGCTGAACTGGGTCGCACAGTCCCTGCAGCCTGCCACTCTTCCCTAGGTGCCGCCGGATGGTGGTAGTTGTCTCAGATGATTATCTGCAAAGCAAGGAATGTGACTTCCAGACTAAGTTTGCACTCAGCCTCTCTCCAGGTAAGCTCAGTCCTTCCTTTGCCACAGAAGAGTGGGTGGGTGGGGGCTTCAGGATGCCAGCCTTCCCTCACCAAGGACCATGGAAGGAACTCCTTCCGGTCTCTGCACACCTGAGTGCCTTTCGTGTGGCTGAATATGTGCCAGGGATGCTCAGGCGAGGAAGGGCTGTTGTTAATCCCTGGGCTGGGGACTGGTCCCACCCCACTGTGGGAAGAGGGCCTGGTGCCAGCTCTGCACCCCTTGGCCTGCAGGTGCCCATCACAAGCGACTGATCCCCGTCAAGTACAAGGCGATGAAGAAAGAGTTCCCCAGCATCCTGCGGTTCATCACTGTCTGTGACTACACCAACCCCTGTACCAAGTCCTGGTTCTGGACTCGCCTCGCCAAAGCCCTGTCCCTGCCCTGAAGACTGCCCCGGACCCTGGGTGCAAGTGCGTCTGTCTGCCTGTACTTGCACTTCCGCCCCTGTCTCCCTCTGCACTTGTAGGGGTTCCTCGAGCTGCCAACTCCACAGGCACATCTGCAGCCACTGGACATTTCTGGACATCACATCTCGCCTTCTGTGTGGAACCAGTGGCTGCAAGTGGATGCGCCTGCTGGGGCTGCGAGGAGGCCCCGAGGAGCCGTCATCTTAGACCTCAGTTTCTCCACCTGAGAACTGAGTAGCGTGGGGAGAACAGGCAGTAGTAGCTGTGTTCGAATCACTGTGGGAAATGAAGTGTTGTTCTGGGGGAGACAGATCTTTACTGAGAGAGAGCTGGCTGCAGGGGTCATATGCTGGTTACTGCTGGGACCCCACCTCACATCCCACTTCCTCCTGCCCCATGGTGTAGATACTGGCCTAGCAAAGGGAGATCCCACCATTGAGCATGATTCCCCCACAAGTTCACCTCTGTCTACCTCTTAGATTCCTCTCAGCCTCTTCCCACCTTCAGTGTGACAAGTCCTGTAAGTGCCTGGGGCTGCTTTTCACTTCAACCCGTCAAGGTGCCTGTGGTCACACTCTCAGCTCTGCCTAGCCCCCATCGGGTTTGGGTCCTGAGGCTGGGTCACCATGGTGGGGTAAGCAAGAAACCTTCCTCCCTGGGCCACCACAGACAGCTTTCCTACCAACCTTTTGTACCTTGACTGCCTTACAAAGTTGCTTGCGGGACCAGTTTACAAACAGTGACCACATATGAGCCTCCTGCCCCAAAGCTTGTGGGCACATATACACGCACAAACATGCACCTCCATGCACACATTTCCTTGGGTACAGTTACAGCTCCCAGGTATGGCTGGGTGAGATGGTCCCACCATTGCGGGGGTCGAGCCATAGATAAAGATGAAATACTCTTGTATTCCTTTTCTCTTTTTCCCCACTTCATTGGAACCAGTCTCTAGAAAGGACCCAATAAGCCAGCATGTACCCCTTCGGTGAAGCACAGAGAGAGGAAGAGAGCTGCTTGAACTCACACAGCAAGTCAGCGGCAGACAACCGCTTCCCCTCTCTCTCTGGGGGATTTCTACATTAGTTAACCTCCAGCTCTCCTTTGGGGAGAAAATATCATGATCTCAGGTCTCTGACCCAGAGCAGATCCCAGGACCCTAAATCTAATAGAAAATGTGTGTCTTGCCCAGCTGCTGTGACTCAGTGGTTGAGCCTCAACCCATGCACCAGGAGGTTACCAGTTCAATTCCTGGTCAGGGCACATGCCCAGGTTGTGGGCCAAATTCCCAGTGGGGGGCATGCAGGAGGCAGTCAATTGATGTTCTCTCATCAATGTTTCTCCCTCTCCCTCTCCCTTCCTCTCTCTCTAAACTTCATAAAGAAAAAGAAAGAAAATGTATGTCTTTGCTCCACCTCCAGCAGGGCTGGTGGAAGGCACCTTCATGAGTCTGGGGAGGGACTGAAGGCCCCTCACTGCACCATCTTCAGGAAGTGCTTAGCAACCATGCACCTATCCCCACCTTGATGCTGGGGAGTATTTTTAAAACAATTTCAAGCAAGTATCTCACACCTATTTTGTGTACATTTTGAGAAATGCCTGTGTCATTTCTCCTGTACTCTGGGTTTATAATAAAGAGCTTTCTACTTTGTGCACAGCGGGTTTCATTTGTGTCTGGAAGGAGTTTGGAAGCAGTACCCTGGGATAAGGCTCTCCTGGGTAAGAGAAACTGATCCATTGGGTAGGTTCCTGTGTGTTTGGCAGAGGTTTCCTGGAGGCTGGACGCCCTCCTCACTGGTCCCAGGCCACATCAGGGCTGCAGGCAGAACCAGGAATGGCAGCCTCCGCTCCAGATGCTGGGGAGACTGCTTGCCTCCACCAAATCAGTCTTCCCTGGATTGTGCCATGCTCCTGGGCCCTGGCCCAGCCAGTGGGCAGGGGCTGCTCTCCTAGGCTCCACAAGGAGAGTCAGCGAACCCCTATTCCAGCCAGGGGTTGGAGATACTCAGTTGTTATCAATAATGATCATCCTTGCCATATCTATGTGAATCCTAAACATGTTGCTCTATCTGAATGGAATATCACTGCCCGGCTGGTGTGGCTCAGTGGATTGAACCTCAATCCTGTGGACTGAGAGGTCATGGTTCAATTCCCGGTGGGGGCACGGGTTGCAGACTCAGTCCCTGGTGGGGGGCATGCAGGAGGCAGCCAGTTGATGTTTCTCTCTCACATCGATGTTTCTATCTTTCTCTCTCCTTTCTTCTTTCTCTAAAAATAAAAAAATAAATAAATAAATAGAATATCACTTTTTCACTGTTCACTCAAGAAAATTTGGAAAATATAAAGGAAAAAAATCACCCATAACCCTAATCCCAGAGGTAACGAGGTCTTGAAGAGTGCACAGACATCAGCAACCATACCTTTTCTATCAGTGGTCTCTGTCACCGTGTCTCCTGGCTGCTGGAGGCTTCTCAGCCTTACCCCTGTGCCCTCAGGGATTCCTAGAAAGGCCCCAAGTGTTCAGGGCAGTTCTGGGGCAGGACCTTCCTCTCCAGTGTCCCCTAGGAAACAGAGCTGCAGTGTGGTCCTGGCAGTTCCCCCAGGATCTGCCATGTGCCATTCATGGCTGTGGGGACACTCTTGGGTCTGCTCCAGGTCTTGAGTGGGGGTGGGAGTCTCTGGGTAACACCAGTGCATCATGGGAAAAGCCTCCGTTTTCTCAGGCCGGGCTGGTAGCTCAAATGTGCTCACCACACCCCTATCTGATCCTCACACCCCTCACACCTTCCTTCCTCCAATGCCCACCTCCACACAAGTGGGTTCTCAGATACCCAGAAAGCTTCCTCTTCTAATTTTTGGTTTAGTCTTCTAGGAACCTTTAATAGAGAAACCCTCATTTTCTTTTTTTAAAAATTCTCACCTGAGGATATTTCTCCATTTATCTTCAGATAGAGTGGGAGGGAGGGAGAGAGAGAGAGAGAAACATCCATGTGAGGTGAGAGAGGCACATGGATTGGTTGCCTCCCACATGACCCTATCCAGGGCAGGACGAGCTGCAACTGAGGTATATGCCCTTGACCGAAATTGAACCCGCAACTCTTTGGTCCACAGGCCAATGCTTTAACCAGTGAGCAACTGACCAGGACAGAAACCCTCATTTTTCAATAGGGAAATTCACTGCTGAAATCAAAGGCGAAAGCAGGAAATTTTGGAGGGCAGCAGCAAAGTGAAATACAAAACTACAAGTCTACATGACAGTGGGCCTGGATTCTGTCACCAGATAATGATGGGAAAAATGGGAAAAATAGTAACACTAACAGTGTTACTTTGTTAGATCCTGATTCAAACAGACCAATTATAAAAAGACTATTTTTGGTCATATATCTGATCAATATCCAGAATATAGAGAGATTTATATATAATTCAGAACTAAACAACCCAATTAAAGAATGGTCAAGGGACTTGAATAGACATTTCTCTTAAAAAGGTATACAGCCCTGGCCGGTTTGGCTCAGCAGTTGGAGCATCAGCCTGCGGGCCAGAGAGTCCTGGGTTCAGTTCCCGTTAGGGGCACGTCCCCCCCCCCCCAAAAAAAAGAAAGAAAACAAAAAGGTATACAAATGACTAGTAAGTATATGAAAAATGCTCAGCATCACTAATCAGTAAGGAGTGGTATCAGAGAAGCCCTGCTAAAACAAAAGATTTAAGTAAGATTCAGAGTCTCATAACATAGTACTCAAAATGTCCAGGATTGAAAGTCACTCTTCAGCCCTGGCCAGTTTGGCTCAGCGGTTAGAGCGTCGGCCTGCGGTCCGGAGAGACCCGGGTTCGGTTCCCGCTAAGGGCACGTACTTCGGTTGCAGTTTGTCCCCGGCCCTGGTTGGTCGTGCAGGTGGCAGCCACTCGATGTGTCCCTTCACGTCGATGTTTCTCTCTCTCTCTCTCCCTCCCACTCTATCTGTACAAAAAATGGAAAAATATCCTCGGGTGAGGATAAAAAAAAAAAAAAGAAAGTCACTCTTCATACCAAGAACCAGGAAAATCTCCACTTGAATGAGAGGGATAACCAACAGATACTAATACCAAGATGACACTGACATGGAAATTGCCTGACAAGGATTTTAAAACAGCCAGTGTAAAAATGCTCCAATGAGCAATTACAAACATATTTGAAACAAATGGGGGAAAAAAAGTCTCAGCAGAAAAATACAAGAGATGAAGAACTAAATTGAAATTTTAGAACTGAAAAACAAAAACAAAAAACACCTACCTAAAATAAAAGCTCACTGGATGGAGAGGACAGAGGAAAGAATCAATGAACTTAAAGACTGAATAATATAAATCACCCAATGTAAACAAAAGAGGGAAAATAGACTGAAAAAAAAAAAAAAAAAAAAGAACAGTCTCAGGTATACATGGGACTGTTAGAAAAGATCTGTTATTTGTGTCACTGGAGTTCTTAAAGGAGAGGAGAAAGAAGATAGAGCTTAAAAAGTATTCAAATAGATAAGGCTGAAAAATTTCCAAGTATGGCAGACATAAACCCACACACTCAAAAATCTGATCAAATCCAAAACAGGGTAACCCAAAGAAATCCATGCCAAAATACATCATAGTCAAACTTCTGAAAACTAAAGACAAAGAAAGTATCTTGAAAGCAGCCCTAAAATGGGGGGGGGAAACAATTTAAATGATATCAAATATCTCATCAAAAGTTATGGAGGTCAGAAGGAAGTGGCATAACATTTTTAAAGTACCCAAAGAAAACACTGTCAACTCAAAATCCTATTTCCAGTGAAAATCAGGAAGAAGAAATCAAGACAGCCCTGGCCAGGTAGCTCAGTTGGTTAGAGCATCGTCCCACTACGCCGAGGTTGTGGGCTTACACAAGAATCAACCAATGAAAGCATGGATAAGTGGAACAACAAGTCAATCTCTCCTCTCTCTGTCTCAATAAAAATAAATAAATAAATTGGGAAAAAAAAAAAAAAGAAATCAAGACATTCTCAGCATTAGAAAAACTACAGGAATTTGTCAACAGCAGACCTACCCTTAAAAAATAGCTAAAGGAAGTTTTTGAAACAGAATATAAATAATTTAAAGAGAATCTTGGGTCCCGCCGGTATGGCTCAGTGGTTAAGTGTCGACCCATGCATCAATAGGTTGCCACTTGGATTCCCAGTCAGGACACATGCCCAGGTTGTGGGCCCAATCCCCAGTATGGGTCATGCAGGAGGCAGCCAGTCGATGTTCTCTCTCATTGGTTTCTATCTCTCTCTCCCTCTCCCTTCCTCTTTCTCTAAAATTCAATAAAGAAAAAAAATTGTTTAAAAATAATCTTGGAACATCAAGAAGGAAGAACAAGAGAGTAAAAAATAAGTTAATACAATATGCTTTACTTCTCCTCTTGAGTTTTCTAAATTCTATCTGTTGATATAAGCAAAGGATCTGTGGTTGGTGGAGGATAGATTAGGGAAGTTGATAAGCACAGTGGCAATGTCTGCTTTGAGCAACTGCACAAACAAAAAGGAGAAATGAAGTGACTGCTGCCTGGGAGGAAGACCTCTGCAGTCCCCACTATTTCCTCTTCCCTTAAAAGATCAAAGCCCACGAGGTCCGGTTCCGTGTCCCCTGTCCTGCGTCCTCACGCATTTTATATAGAGAAAATATTTAAGACAGTTATAAATAGGGGAGAGGAAAGGGACTTAAAGGGAAGAAAGGTTTCTATGCCTTACTAAAACTGGTACTGTCAAGACAAGCAGAACTAGATATCATGTACAAACAGTGTTATACCTAGAGCACCTACTAAATATCTGTACATCGAGAGAGACTCTCCAAACATTATACATAAATCAAAATGAAATTCTACTTGAAATGACCAAGATTATAGAGATGCAGAATAGACTAGAGATTGTTAGGAGTTCAGGATGGCTGGGGTTGAGGGACTGGGAGTGGGTGTGCTATAAAGAGGTATCAGAGAGAGAAATCTTTAAGGTGTTGTAATAGTTCTGCATCTCAGTTGTAATGATGGTTAGTTAGGTCTACACATGTTATAAAAATGGCAAAGAACTGTGCAGACATTGTACCAATGTCAAGTTCCTGGTTTGGGTATTATACTATAGTTAAAGAAGACGTGTCCATTGTGGGGAAGGTCCAGGAACTTCTCTGCACTATTCTTGCAACTTCCTGTGAATAATTATCTCAAGATACTATGTTTGTAGCCTGGCCATTATGGCTCAGCGGTGAGAGCGTTGGCCCGCGGACCAAAGAGTCCCGGGTTCGATTCCGGCCAAG